ATAATTACCTCATAATGTTGTGTGCGCAAGCACATGCACTTACAAAGTATGTCTGTTACTGTTATCCACGTACATTCGTGGCTTAAGGTAGAACACTTAAACATACCAATATTACTGGATGGAAAAGGGTCGGTATATAAATCGGAAGGATTGTGGAATGGCCGGAACCTAATAAGACCTCCATCACGGATTTCTGTTACGAACCCTGGTCTACCTTTGGCAATAACTACATTGTCCGGCCTTGTAGTAGATAGCTTTGAGTTCCTGTAACTGACCATTAGCTTGGAAGAATTATCAGTTACCAAAGGTTCAGTGACATTGTCAGCCATATCCTGATTCAGTATACTTTGAAAGTAAACTTCTTCGGCATATCGCTGTGCGGCTTGTTTAGCCACAGCAAATCCACAGTGTACTGAACGCCTAATTTTTCTCATGTAGGACTCAAAAGGAAATGCTGCGAACGATTCTAAAGTACCATGTTCCATAACGTCGTCTACAATGTGCTTTAAACTATGCACATTGTAGATTAAGTGTTCGGTACCGTAACACCTTTCGTAACCTAATAAAAAGTTATTAATGTAAACCCTAAGACTGTTAGCGAATATGCTATGAAACTTAGGGTGCGATAATAAATAAATGGACAAGGAGAGTGACTGGAAGTTTCTGTACATTGATAATGGTAACCTATTATGAAGAACTACAGGTCCTAAGTATAATAAGAACAACCGACATTCAGTTGCTTTCCATACAGAAACTTCATTAAGTGAACGACATTTCCGTTGAAAATCGCATGTCGTGTGTTGTCTACATAAGTCTAGTGCATCATTTATTGATGCGATAATTGATTGATCCATCCTATTCAGTCGCTTAATAGCTAGCTCCTTCCATAATGAAACAATTTTTTTGGTAACACCTAAATATATCATATGCATGGGTTCACAAGGGAAACATTTAATCATATCCACTGGCAAATTTTCAAATGAACTTGTGCCACGATGATGGATAGATTGGGACCTACGACGAAAACTGACATCATTTCTTAAGTCGTGTTCACCATTGGGGAAAGTCATTCGACCACCCATTCGCGTCCCTAAAACCTGACATTTGCCACAGCCAGCGATACCATTGTGTCCCACAATGTACTTGACGTTGCTGCGAGCTGGAGCGTCACAAATAACAGCTACTAATTTAACTGTTAAATGTAGATGATACTTATCTACATTAATACCTACATAACATAAACCATCGTAGTTTAACTGCAACTGTAATTCGTTGAAATGGACTCGCCGTAGCCAGTGTCCTGAAATTCTCAAAAGACTGGATTTCAATCCTAAATGGTAATACGTTCCAGAATCTAGGATCTTAGGCTCCACGTCGTTGCATCGACGTAGAACACTTCTGACGGACGTTGGAAGTTCTGGATACCGCGCACGAAAAATGTCCAGTATTTGATCGGCCTTCTTTATGCTTATATAACCCCCTTTCATCATTTCAATAACCATTTTGTCTAACTCGTCTTTCACCGAAAGATGAATGGCTGGGGACATTTCTGAAACCACACAACCTATAAAATTTTAATAATTAAACAGATACTACCGTTGATTGGGTTGTTTGAACACTGGACGTGACTACATGAAGCAGTAGCTGTATCTGTGACAATATTAGTCCACTGCTCTGTAGCTACGTTAGTACGCGATTCTGTGACGACAACTGGATTGTCTGTCTCTTCGTCACAGCTCGGTAACTGACACTTCTTTATGAACTGTCCTTTTATTTTCCTCAACCTTCTGTAATAGGTTGATCGGGAACAGCCAAACAACCTAGGGTATTTCGTGTCTGCTGCCCGCCTTTTCGCAATTTTATCTAGCTGTCTATTATTATTATTCTAAAAGATATAATTCACTTAAGTAAAACTGAACATAGACAGCAACAAAATTTTCCGACCAGCACTGCTGACAACTCACCTGCATAGCTTTCAAATTTTGAAAAAGTGCTTTAAAACCGACAATTCTTTGTCTACTGTCTGATTGTTGATGTATTAAAACAAGACCTGGAATTCGATAGATTATCCCTCATCAAAAGACTGTATTGAATTGAAATGTGAATTTTTCTATTCAAATTTACTACTGTGAGTCTTAATTATATTATCTGGACGAAATGTTAGTGTGCAAAAATGCGCTACGAAAATTTTGGGGATTTCCCCTAAATTTCCCCAAACTTTGGGGAAAAATATTTCATTTTGGGGATTTCCCCAAAATTTCCCCAAACATTGGGGAAGGTTTTTAACTTTGGGGATTTCCCCAAACTTTCCCCAAAATTCCCCCAAAATTCCCCAAAATTTCCCCAAACTTTGGGGAAGGCTATTTCACTTTGGGGATTTCCCCAAAATTTCCCCAAAATTCCCCAAAATTTCCCCAAAGCTGGCAGATTGGGTAGTAATTGTCTGTCGAATAAAAATAAGTTTTTCTTATGTTTCGGGGTGAGATGTCCCCGATGTATAGGATAGGATGATAATCACAGTATAATACACCCTACAAAAGAGCAAGTCGAAGAATTCCTAAACCACGTGAAAAAATGTTACCACTTTCAAAGTTTGACAAGGTCAAAATATGGCTCAAGTAGGATGAATAAAATGGGATATCCGCAAGCTAGAATAAGGTATATGGGCTTGGCATAATAACTGACACTACATATTCAACCGACTTTATTGAAGCATATGGCCGATATTCAATCGGGACCCCCAACCTAGTGTTCCAATAGCCTTACTATCGACTTGACCTTGTAAATTACTCGCTTTAAACTCATATAGCCTGACAAACCATGTATTATATAAAACTCACCTTTGGTAACTTTGTATAATAAACTCTCGTGGTCATTAGCTGTCATGGTTTTGACGTGTTTACATCAAGCTACATACATACTTCGCCATTTCATAAAGACTTGACTCAACGATCATTATCCTCTAAGTTATTTTCAGTTCATTATCACTAACATGTCGAGACCAAATTCCATCAGTCATATATTCTTTTTCAAGTGAATAGTTATGTTACCTGATTACTGACGCCTGTTACACCTCGTCGAGGAACATAGGTCAACCACCAACATTCTCCATTCACCTCCGTCCTGATCAATCCTTTCCGGTTCTTCACAGTTGCCAATCATTCTTTGTTCCTTGGTCTTCCAGTCTTTCTTCTCTCATCAAGATTCCAAGTTGGCGCTTATCCCGTGATGCAGTTTGGTGATTCTCTCAATGTATGTGCTACCGAACTCCAACATTGTTCTCTACCACAGTTGGTTGTTGCCGATGGTATCTAACCAACGGATAATGAGTATGTTGAGCAGGCAATTGTTTATAAGAAATTGTACCATATCGATGATGGTTGCGGTAGTTCCACAAGTTTAATCTGCATGTAGTAGAACTGTCTTGACGTTCGTATTGAAGATTCTGACTTTGATATTTGTTGGAAGTTGTTTTGAGTTCCGTGTGTTCTTCAATCGCAGAACTGGTGTTCTTGCTTCAACAATTCATGCCTTTACATCAGTATCATATCATCTTTGTCCGTCAATGATGCTGCGTGGGTAGTTACGTGAATGTTTCCGCCTCTTTCAGAGTTTCTCCATCAAGTGCGGTTGAGTTTGTTTTTGAGGATCTTGTTTCTTCCCTTGTGTGTGTTGAGGCTTACTGATTCAGAGGCTGCTGCTACACTGGTCGTCTTCATCTGCATTTTTTCATGCGTATAGCCTAGAAGATCTAGGTGATCTGTGAAGTCCAAATCGTCTAGTTGCATGCAAGTTGTCCATTGTATTCCGGTCTTCCGAATTGTCTGGACATTCCATGTGCATATATTAATTTTTGCTCTGTATGTTATAAGAGGCATCGACCTGGTGAATTTTAAAGAATCTCGGCTCTCACCATGAGGTGTCATGATACTCCTCAACAGAGGTCCCTTAAATTCCAGGTCAGAGTTAAAAATGTTTTAATTTGTTTAATCTGGTTGGCGTTTTTTAGTAAGGCTGTTTTCCATAGGATGAGGTGGCTAACTTCCTGTTCAACTCTCCTCCTTCACCCATGTTTGGGAAAATCAGAAGCCCTAGAAGAGCTTAAGGCGGAGTTGAATAGTTGTGTTAAATTCTTCGTTCCGTACGGATCCATTGCCGAATAACACGAACGACACCTTCGTGCTCTCTTTAGTTTCTACGGGCTTGTTACGCCATCGAGAGATGTAAATGACGACAATCCAATTGTAACGTGTTTAAAGCTCATCTCCACTCAACTTGTAATTCTTCAACAAATAGTGTGTAGAAGATAACCATGGGTGTCGCACAAGTTACAAGGCTAGCTTCTTGTGGAATATCGCCAGTTCCATCTAATTTCTACACAAACTGAAGTTGCGATGTTTCAGTATGCTTCTGATTGTGACTACAATTTCAACTGACATTCACACCCTGAATCTAAGGAGGTATGTTCTACTTTCATTCTTATTTCTCATAGTTCCTAGAAGCTTTAAGCTTGCTATCTTCACACTACAGAAGTGTTGGAGATGTAGAATATCACCGTCTTTCACAAACATCTTAAAGCAGGTCGTTGATATCGCTTAGTTCGCCAATTACTTTCCAACAACAGAAATATTCGATAAACTTATCGGAGTCATCCATAATGCGTATTTACTGTATATCGACTGAAAAGTCAGCTGTTTTAGTGATTCCATCTGGAATTTGTCAGATTTACAAGAGGAAACATCTGTTTCTTAGTCAGATATATATTAGCAGTGTAGATAAGAACTTCTCATGATCAGCCCCTACAGATTAATGTAGAACAAATCAAGGAGGGTCTTCCTTATGTTCATTGAAAGACTTTCAACATATACGATGTTTCGACAAAGTATCCCCATATATAAACCTAGATAAATAAATCTTGATAAAGCTTGAACTGATTCTTCAACTTAATGCTAACTAGTAAGTTATTATTTTAATTTTTTACCACAGAATGGTCTCATGAAGAACTTTATTGTAAAGAATACTTTATACACGAACATAGAAAATTACTCATTTTATTGGGAAGAAAACCTAACCAGAACATGTGACTGACATATGATAGACAAAATGTCATCAATGAAGTGATCAAAGGCTATTAAACCATTTAAGTTTTAATTTAGAACAGCTCACAAATAAGTAGGAATTGCACTCAGTAACATCGGAAAATAAAGATGAACACAGGGGACTGTAAAAATTCGTAAGTGGAGAAATAGTCACTAAAAGTATAATGGAATTCGGACCCTCGCAAATAAACTAAAGCACTTCTTACGTGGAAAAATGAAAACCTGGCGAATTACTAATACTTCCTACACTATATTATTATCAGGTTTAATAAATTAGATTAGTATGTCAAATTCTGTAGAACTAAAAGAACAAGAGAAAATTGAATTTTATTTCTGAAAAAATGAGATGTAGAAATAGAATACTGTATTATTACATCGTGATAACAGATAAAGGAATAAAGAAACAATTATTTATTTGTTTCCTCGTATTCAGGATTCTTTCGGAGAAGTATGAAACCCTCTAAAGGAAGTTGTGTTATAGGTAAATATTCATCCGTTGCAAGTTCTGCACGCTCACCATGAGATAATAAAACTGGTGTGGTATGCGTCTGAAATCCTGTAATGGTTTTCGGCCTTCCTGCCTGACCAACAACATCGACAGCCTGACCTACACGAACAGTCACAAGCGAAGGTTTCAAGTCTTCATCGAAAGTCATCAACAGGCGAGGTTGAATTGCAGGTGTAATATAAAAAATCAGGTAATCGTGTCTACTCATAAATGTCATCCTCATATCCAGACAAGATGTTAACAGTATGAGAAGTCCAGCTAACCCAACAGGACGGCATAGGAATCTATCAGAATGCCAAGGACTCAGTGTGAGTGTCCCTTTTCCAAGATGTGTTAAGCCTTGAGCAAGTCGAACTAAGAACAAATTGTATGGATCGCGGCTATGATAAACAGCAAGCTGACGTAACATAGCAGCTAAACGTGCATTATTTGTTCCTGAAAAGAAAGAAATGGCAACAAAAATTTTTTTAAGTAAAAGACAAATAAGGTTCACACTGTAACTAAGATCAGAGATGGCGATAAGCAACTTAGATTATAACGTACAAAAATACTATGGAGGTTATTCATCCAGTTAGTTTTAGTGCTGATAAAAGAAAAAGCTATCATGGGTCTTAGGAATCTATATTTGTAACACATGAACGGCTTGGTTAACAGACAACCGATAAGCTTGAAAACGTCATTTGTTCTAATAACTTTGAGAGATATGTCGTTAAAATGACCAATTAGCACTTAAACTTATTTTTAAGGCATTTAAGAGAAACAAATTCATCATATTTTATGTGGCTGATACATCTTAGGTGGTATATCACACAGATCTTCACCGATAGATAGAATCAGTTTCAAACAAGAAAGTCTGAGTTACATATGTGAGTCAACTTATGTTGCCATAACACATTAGTAAGGCGAGATAGCAATAACATGAATATAAGGAGTTGAAGTGACAGTAGTATAAATGATAGTGAGAATGACTAAAAGTAGGATAATGTAGTTTGAAAAAAAGGATGAATTCAAGCAGTATCTAAAACATGTATTGCTTTACCGTCCCCCACAGTTAATGTTAACTTATTGAGAGATATCACCACTTGGAAGTTAACTGATTTCCAACTTCAATCACTCGAACTGGTTAACAGTTCGAGAATATTTGGAGTCCTGAAGATACTACTGTCCAACTTCCCTGACAATGTGACCACTGAGTGATGATAAATTGAGGTATTTGAGGAAGAATTAAAGAATAGATGGAAAGATAAATCAGCATTAAAAACTAAACTATATATCTTTAATTAGAATTATGAAGGTATATGATATTATATCTGAAACTGAACATCTGGAAGTCAAAACAACTGTCAACCAACACCAAACCCAGAATTCGCAATACAAATGTCAAGACAGTTCTACTGTATGGGGCGGAAACCTGGAGAACTACGAAAGTCATTATCTAGAAGATACAAGTGTTTATTAACAGCAATCTACGCAAAATACTTAGGATCCGTTGACTAGACACTATCAGCAACAACCTACTGTGGGAGAGAACAAACAAGATCCCAGTGGAGGAAGAAATCAGGAAGAAGCGCTGGGAGTGGATAGGACACACATTGAGGAAAGCACCCAACTGTGTCACAAGGCAAACCCTCACATGGAATCCTCAAGGCCAAAGGAGAAGAGGAAGATGAAAGAACACATTACGCCGAGAAATGAAGACAGACATGAGAAGAATGAATAACAATTGGATAAAACTAGAAAGGAAGACTTAGAATAGAGTGGGTTGGAGAATGCTGGTCGGCAACTTATGCTCCATCGGGAGTAACAGACGAAAGTAAGAAAGGTATATTACAAATAATAAAACACTGAACTTCTATACCAAAAATACATAATGAACGTACCTGCACCGACAATGCCCATTGCAATTATAGAATTGTGTGATAACTCTGCATCTGAATCATGACTAAATTTGCTTAAAGTATCCAATACTTTTAGCTGAGGATTCGATACGTAGCACAATGCAAGAGCTAGTGGGACAGCTCTTTTAATTGGAAGTTCGCCGAATCTTAACTGTAAAGTAATTATTAAAATAAAGCATTTTCTGTTATCGAAAAATGTCTATAATACTTATGACTAAAACCAACTTCATTAACTTACATACACTCACCAAAATTGACATTTTTTATAGGACAGGGAATTTTTCTGAGAAAGTACATAACATTAATCATAAAAAATATCTTTATACTTGCTGTAATACATTGTTAGTTTGACTTATATGCGAATTGACAGATATGTAAATTTACCTAACTATTGGAATCACAATAATGTTAGACAGAACTGGACTTGAAAGTGAAAATCCAACGCCTATTCGCAAGGTCAGTCGATGATACAAGTAGAAACCACTGAATTTATCATAGAGTGGTGGCTATACTGCATATTTAAACTTGACAAACCTAACTATCCTAAACACACATTAGCTTCACCCGAGTTTCGTTTGCTGTTTACTACAACTTAATAAGACATTGTTATCTACTACTTATTTTACTCATAAGTTGTGTTCAATATTTGAAAATACTCTTTAGTATGATTATACTTATTGCCGGATGCAAATCACATTTTTGCAAGCAACAAACAGGAGGATACAAGTAATCTCGTATGTGTAAGGACTTTTCAACTTATCTACTAGACACGCAATCGATTTTGAAATTCAGCTGTTATTCGATTAGAAGCAACAGTATTAGCGTATCAAGTATCAAAAAACTTTTAAACACTTACTGCTTGAAACTATGACAGATAAGGCAGAAATAAATATTTACACATAACATCATATACACTTAGATACTTAATATATCCAAGTGGCACAAAAGAACATACAAGATGGCCGAACATTCGGAAGGCCATATCTAGGCCAATTTCTTCACCCATAGCAATTATAGCAACTCCCAAAACAGCTAGACCCTGATGAGCATGAAAATCAAATGTACTGTCTTCCTGTGGTGTGGACTCTTCTGCATTGGACGTATCCATTGGTATGGGTTGGGGAACGCCTGTCTCTTCTGAGGTAATGGTATCTTCATTTACTTGACCAGTAGTGTCCATAGCTGTAGGAGCATCTGTATTATGTCCGTTATTATGGTCATTAGTAGTAGCAGATGTAGCAGCCGGTCTAGTTGACCCACCACGACGATTTCTCCCACGACCCCCTCCACGGCGAGCTTCACTCGACTTTTCCTTTTTCTCTTTTGTTTTTGTATTGGAAGCCTTATCAGTATTTTCTTTTTCTTCATACTTTTCAGAGAGGATATGAAGTAAATTTTGAATTTTTAATACATTCCCGCTGCCTTTACAAAATAAATGAGCATAAAAATCGTATTAATAAACAGCGTAGTTAACCAATGTGAGAAAGCTAAATAATAAGTCATATTTAGTTTATCTACCAGATTATACTGCTGGCACATCATGGAACGTCAATCTATGTTAATTTGTTCAAAAATAACAATTTTTGTACGGTTTTACGTGGATACGAGTAGCAAATTCACCTACAAACATACGTGAAACGTGTTGACTTGATAAGTAAGACTGTTGATAATATGCTAAAGCGATGTATTCAGTAAATGATTAATCCAAAACGAATCATATTGCCCTAAAATAAAATGAAAAAGCTTAAGTTGTTTCTTTTGTGTTTTTTAATGACTGTTTGATATAAGTGATGGAAAATCTGTTTGGATTCTAATAATAATGATATTTCGCTTACGTGTTATAAAGCCTCTTTACACTTTCAGATAAATTACCTATATTAATATGACTACAATTGCAAATAACCTGCTTCGGTTTAGGCACCCGTGCAGTATCCCAGCACTCACACAAATTAAATAATTTATGTGGCACATATCTATTTGATGCCTCCTTGTACCAATGTTTATATGTTTAAATAAATAAAATTGAAAAATAAATAAATTGCAAATGTGGATGAATAATAAATAACTGGCAGAAAAACAACCAAAATAGTTCTCGACAAACAAGAATACACACTTACCAGCATAAGCACAAAAGTCACAGATCATGTGAGCCATTGATTTCATAGGTTCAGATACAGCCTCTAAAGAAGCCAGAATAACTTCAACTTCTTCCTGTCGGCCTAAACACGTTAGACCTAAACCAAGTGCCATAAATTTGCTAAAAACATTGCTCCAATGACTTGCGGGTCTTTCCAATAAACTTTGGATGATAGTAGAAGTGACGGTCCCATCAAGTGAACCAACTGAGATAAGGCCTGCTGAAAGTGCTGCCAAACAAGCATGTTGAAGCTTCGCTGTATTAATATCCAGGATAACAGGTGTAAGAGTGCTTATAGCTTCTGCTTTCATTGAACCAGCGTAAGCTACACCGAGACCAATAATTGCCGCACGAGAAAGGACGTCCTTGTCAGAATCCACATAAGATCCAAGGAGAGCTAACGCAGGATCACATTCGTTTTTAACACCACAATTGACAACTCCACAACCTAAAAGACCACCAGCACGAGTATGATCCTCTACAGAATAAAGATATTTATCAAGTTGCGACAACCCAGTGTCAACATCCCATAAAAGCACCCAACCGAGCGTAGCCACAGTACTCATTTTACCTAATACAAATGAAATAAGATAAACAAAATGGTTTGCGAAAGAAGTTGGAAAAATCAAACATTGATCCTAAATATTTTAGAAATATGGCTTAAACAAAAAAGGTAGTTTTCATAACATGTAATAATCAGAATGATGACTGGTTAAACATATATAAGTAGCATAGGGATTTGCTTTTACATCATCTAACCTGATAGACCACACAATTAAAAATAGGACAAATATGATCAATGTATAACAAATAAACATATACACTGATCAAACTCCCTGATCACACAAAACAAATGAAACAAAAAGTGTTTAATTATATCTGAATCAAAAACGTGTGACTTCTAAAGAATATGGAAACTCTGTTAATAGGTAATAAAGCGAACAGCGGACACTAACCATAGTGAAAACATGTGGGACTAAAAAATATGGGATCAAAACATACCGAATTCTTTCTGTTTGCACAACCATGGGACTTCTTTAGGTGTTTCTTGTAGTAGCTTCTCCTTACCGAAACCACAATTTACAAGTCCATTCACATAGGATGCAGCTAAATTAGCTCGTGCCGAGTCTAAAGTGGCCGCATTTAAAGTTGGTCTGACTGCCTCCAAATGAGATTTGTAGATATCCTCTGGTAACTTTTGCCAATGCAAGAAAATCAATGAAAAAATATTATATAAGCTTGGAGCTAAGTGGACTAATGTGATTGTATTGTCATCGATAGTAATTACACTTCTCAACGCTAAAACAGCTTTTCAAATATAATATACACTTTGCATTGCCGTCACAGAATTAAAGATATCTACGTACTTAGAAATACACCTTTCAAGTAAAATCTAATTTTTGTGCTTGTTCATCATGCACTTTGGTTTTCCGAAATTATGTGATTGCTACAGCAACGACAGTCATTTTCACACTAGCTTATGTTCTTACGACACTATGAAATCTACGTATAAGCTTATTCTGGTTTTCAGACCATTGAGTTATCTTTACATTCCCCATAAATTCTATTCATAAGGAACTTTGACCTTGAACACATTTATTTCTTTTATTCGTATCCGTATCAATTTTGTACGTGTCTGTTTTATGTGTGCTTGTGTATCTGTAGACTTATTATCTTATCCATTGTATCTCCTTACAATATTGTTTTTGGGTTATATTAACGCTCATAATGAGTAACATTTTGGGGTAAACACATTCTTTCTTCTGATACGGCCAACGTTATTTACTAAAGTGAATAAGTTCATGAAGATCTACGAATTCGGTCAATAAAATTTATTACATTATTGCTCATCGATATCAGAGTCAACAACCTCAATAAGTTTATAATGGCCTCAAATATTACGATGGTTCTTCCAAGAAGTGAAATCAGTCAGTCAATCATTTACTGACTGTTCACGATCCTAAACAAATAATTGCTTGATCTCTTCGTGAATCATTGCTCACTGATATTAATTCTCAAATACGTATGCATAATTTACGCTAGAAACTGAAAAATGATAGATTTAATGATCGTTTATTAACAGACCCATGAAAACCCCTGATGTTCCCAATACAGATATTTCACTAATCAGGTGTAATTAACGTAAGGCATGGAACATATAAGTCAGCACAAGTACGAGGTATCTATGAGAAACAACTATCTGACCGAAACTTTAATATGTCACATCAATTCAATTTCAGATGCTTCTGAGTATTTACTTAGAATAAAAAGTGAATATTTAGACGAAATTGACTTATTGGCTTACAAGTTGATGAAACTAATCTACTTACGTTCCCTTAGTTTTCCAGTTGCTAACTTCCATAGGTTTTATCCTGGATCATTTCATTGATAACACCAATAACATTAGCACTCAACTACCAGACTATCGTCACTAATCTATTACAAATAGGGATGTTATAAAATTACCCTAGCACATTAAGACAGTTATTACCCTCCTACCAATTACGTATTATTCAAAATCTTATTGGCCAAATGAATGAGGTTAAGGGTTCCATATAACCCTCAATGGATCTTCGGACTTATGTGAGTTTACACACTCTATATGTGGTTAGGCTTTTAAAATGTATTGCACAACAATATTGTACTTCTTAAATTAACTTAGTATTTACATTGCACTGTCTACAATTATGATAGTAACTTAGAAATGCACGTTTTGGAATGGTCTAAACGCAGTGAACTAAACACGAATATTGTATGAAATAAAATGAAAACGTAATCGTGTTTTGGACTAAACGATTAGATGGTTAACTACAAACAGTGAGGCTTTTGGGGAATGATAGAAAGTAAGTTTAGAAAATACTCAGTATAAAAGATAACTGTGAGGGGAAAACCAATAGCATGTTATCAGCAGTACGATTATTGTTATACATATATGGATAATACTCACCTTTGGGTCCATAATGTCTAATTCACGACCAAGAGACAAGAAGTGTTCTGATAGCCTGGTATTCCAAAGCATTTCTGTTAATTCCTCATCTGCTAAACATTCCTCATCTGGAAATACAATGTTCTGTCGACCAAGAAGATAGGCAATTTGACGTTGGATAGCTGGTCCATAATTACGAGAACCTGTTTTAACCTTCCCAGATTCTAAAAATATTTCGCGGATTAAATTCATGTCATTTAGACGTAAAGCGCAACGCATAGCATTGCCCAAATCCTCGAATTTACGGTACAAAATAGTTGCATACTGAAGTACCTGAGATAAGCAACATGAGATGACGGAATTTAGAATCAAATTGATAATCTTACAAACCTATATAAAGTGTTTAGCAAGGCACAAAATTCCCTTATGAAAAGTAAATACCCAAGTAACCAAAAATACTTCAGCCTAATAAAAGTGCTTCATGATGAAAATCCATTGATATCCATATATCTAGCAAATAGATGAAAGCAAATCTTTTATATACATATGATGGTAAACTAAAACTTTTAGTGTTTGGAAAGCATTGCTAGAAATTGAATATTTCCCAAGCAGTGAAGTATTAGGAATTACTCTTGTATATATGAAGGAATGACAAAGCCGCAACGCTTGGAACTAAAATATCCCACTTATTAGGTATATGGAAGCGTATTTACTATCAGATACAAGTACATCCTTATGACGAGTCCCAAACAGTACGAAACCTATGTTCACGGTCCTTTATCGACTGCCCCTAACCATCACCTTACACCTCAATATAGTGCACGTGACGCTGAAGAATCTAGATCAGTAACCACATTGCGACTTAACATACATAATTCGATTTGAACAAAGAAGGACCTGACATCGGCCCCTACCCGATGATAAGCCAACTGTAAATTACCTACCAGTTGATAAAAACATGACATCTCTAATAATGTCCGGAACAGCCTCAACTAAATATTTATACGGGTTCAAATGTCAGCGGATAAAGTTCTGAAATTGGGTATGAAACTGAATACATCACACTTAAACTCTCCGCTTGAGTTAAGAATTGTATGGATAGGGATAGTAAATGAGATGACACGATAATATGAAGTCAATAAACAGCATCCACCCATCATGACTAAGTTACATAACTAATGCGCGTGTTAACATGAATAATTATAAACCACAAAAAATTATTGAAGCTAGTTGCTTATATATCAATTAGGAATAGCTAAATTCCCTAACGGAATACTTGCCAAGACTAACAACTACCCAGAAATCCTGCCTATACAAAAAAAAGTTGGTTGATAATCAACTTGTATGAATGTGAATGTCAACATAATGGGTGATGAATAAACTGGTAAATTAAGAGCTAAGTTTAGAAAAATACTTTAAATTAAGATCCCCAGTTAACAGGAGCATAGCATCAGCAGAATTCAAAGCATGACTTGCGAAATCCGCCTAGAACTTGTCAACTTACCTTATTGTTATCTGGTGTAGGCAGATAAGCTACACAGCTCGTCAGATAAAGGCACACTCGAGTATAGTTTGAACTTGATGTATACATCTCTAGAAGATGATGTTGTTCAATTTCGATACAAAGGTCAATTGCCTCAGCCTCTGCATTGTGTTCCATTAGGTAGGGGATTATTTGGTGAACAAGAGAGAGGCAGTCTTCTCGATGCTTTTTCATTTCGTTTGTGGCTAAAGAAGACTTATTCGAAATTACAGCAAATACCTTCAGGATTATCCATTAGTGAATCGTATTCTTTTTCTTGCCAAGTACCGACGATTTGATTCGTTAAGTGACGAACATACTCATGACCCCAAGCTCCAATATCACCCTGGCAACCAAGATGTCTGTAAGTCAGTGTATCGTAACGCGTTTCAGGCTGGTCAGTTACAGTCATGCCCAGAACGGATACGACATCAGCGCAAAGTTTCTGCAAATAAGTAATCAGACTGTAAAACTCACTTTCGTATCTGGATTACATATAGTGTTGTAAAAAGACTTAATTTTGGCATAATGATGCATCAGGAATTTTAGGGGCTTGGGAACGGATGTCATGGACGTTGTAGAGGACTTTATCAATGTACACATGGACTCTAAAGCTGGCTTATGTAGTTCCTGGTTCGACTCCTCAAGTCTGTCCACGAGCATATTTAGCTCATCCTGAAGCTGTTTGTCTTCCTCAGACTAAAAATAATGTTTTTGGAGGCAAAAATAGTACCAGGTCATCCTTAGAAGTCTCTTCTTTCTTTGGACCAGACTGTTCCTCAACAGCTTTTATCGATGAGTCAGTTCCCATTGTGACAACGGGAAATTGATGAATAATCTAACAGCTTTAAATATAGCGCATCGTTCACCAGATCACCAATGCTCAATACTTTACATATATGATGTTTGAAATATTTAGACGATAAAGAGACTTAATATGGTTCATTTGTTGTCTATAGACTCTCATTTTAACGTTGTATAAATTGCCTGAAAAATCACAATATAATGTATCAATTTTTTGTACGATCAACCGAAACATGAATGTCATCTGTCATGTTGAATCTATTTTAAATTGCTTCTAGTGGTTTTGTCTGGGTCCCGTAAACAACACCCTATTTTCAGGAACATATTTCTTGAAGCATTATATCATCATTTTCTATGAATAAGTAGTCTGAAGTGATCAGCGAAGAGGTAGATTCTCAGGAAATCTATGGCTTTAACAACACTTGAAATCATAGTACGTCCTTTTGAACTTCAACATGTGTCTTTAGGTAGGCGGGACTGAATCAGCTCTATGCGCTTACCAATCTCATGGGTTTCAAATCCTAGAGGTGACTCAATAGTTTCATGTTCATCCACATCTGCTTAATGCCAAATATAAAGTCTAACCCAATCACTTTTCTTCCCTCTTGTTCGTTTTCTGAATATATCACCCGAGTTAGGCCGTACTAAACGTTCTTCCATTCTTTTGCAGCGGATTTTGAGCACGACGTTCCCACACGTGATCTGGTGTGGATGCATGACCGAGCACCTTAAGCTAGGTGAGTCCATTAAAACTAATTTGGTCAGCATTCAATGTCGAAAACTTACAGAGCTATTGATTTTTCGGATTTATTCACCGCTACAGATCACTCCCTCCTAGTGGGGTAGTGATGACCCTAAGACGCGGCCAGCCAGAAGTTCAAACCCAACAAGTTTGTCGTTGGTAAACACCTCTGATAGCTTGCTATGTTTAGCAGCGTCTGGTCGTCTTTCCCTACTATAAGGGACCATGTAGTACAATATAGTAATAAAGAAACAAGGTACAATGAAAATTTCGGTTCATTGTAAACTTCGTCGATCTTTTTTCGTTTTTTCCAGCCGTCTTGGGAAATAAAAAAATATATGTAAGTGCATGTCGAATTACACTCATAAGCACGTAAAGACACAAAGCAAGCGAAAAACGGAAAACTCATGCACATGTGACAGAATAAAAAAACGATTTTTACAGAATGGTTTTATTTGTTTTGTTTTTCTAAGAAAAGGTTTTTGATAAAAATATATTAACTTTAAAAAATTTTCTAATAAAGATGTAAATGAAAGCATATCAAAATAGGTTTTTTATATTATATATAAGACAGAAAAATCGGAACGAAACGAAATGTTAACTAGTGTCATACGTTGTATAATCTATTAAATGTTCAGGAAATCTAACTCTCCTTCGGGAGTCTATTTTTCATATACTGCAAAAGTATCATCGTACGTGTTGAATGAGGTATCATACGTGCAGTATTCGTGTCTTTTGGCTGTGCCGAAGGAAGATAGGGTTTCGTTCTAGATACGCTGCTTTGATGCTGTCAGTGCTGATGCCATCGTTAGTTTCGTTCTTATCGACTGTATAGCACTTAGGTTTGCACTGAAGAACTTCGAGAGGTCCCTCGTATGCTGATGAAAGAGATCCTCGATGTGAGTCTCGACGTACGAAAACGTGTGTACTATATATTAAGCCTTGTTGAACGAAAATACCAGTCGAATGCGGTCGAGTGCAGACAGGTTTAACTTAACGCATTACGTTTGTAAGCCTGTTTGTATAGGAGGTTAGATCCATATTCATTGAAGAGGGTGAAGGATTCCTGAATCCTCCTGAATGTCGAAGTGTCGTTCCATAAACGAGTTGAGCCGCAGGGTATCTAGTTTCCGCTTTCACTGCAATCCGAATACTTAGTAAGACGAGTGTAAGAGCGTCGGTCCGCTGTGAAACAATTGCAGCTGATAGTGAAGATTTTAGCTGTCGGTGAAATCGTTCTACCAACCCGTTTGCTTATGGGTGGTAGATGGTCGTTCGGAAACGAGTGATTCCTAAAAGTGTGGTCAGAGAATGGAAAAGTCCAGGTTCGAACTAGCATTCGCGATCTGTAGTGATGGTTAGAAAACACAGTCCAGATGCCAGAGACAGGTTTTTCTGTCCGGACTTACTATCAAGCAGTCATCAACATACGCAGGTACAAAGTTCAGACCTCGAAGAACGTCATCTATGATCATTTGGAAAGTCTGAGAAGCATTTCTTAGGCCGAAAGGCATTCGCGAAAATTCGTAAAAATCGAAGGGAGATATGATAGCGGATTTTAGGATGTCGTCAGTAGACATAGGAATTTGGTTATATGCTTTAACTAAGTTGATTTTCGCAAAGACAGTAGTACCTTTCAAGGTAGCTGTCAAATCGTTGTATGAGACAACGGGTAACGATCGGGAATGTTTTTTGCATTCAATCCGCAATAGCAACCAGTTGGACGCCGACCGTTGTTATACTTTTTAGGGACCATGTGCAACGGAGATGCCCACGGGCTGTTTTTCGGTCTTATGATACCTAAGTCTATCGCGTGGTGGAACTCGTTTTTCTCCAACCTCAGCTTTCCGGGGGCTAGTTGGCATGTTTTATAGAACACAGGTAATGTGTTACGTTTCTGGTTACACACGGCAATTTCGTTTGCAGTTTGTATGTCCCAGAATACTTATTGAGTAGTGGTTGATAAAGTGGGTCTATCGTGTGCATAATTGTGACTGGGGATAATCTGCAAACGGAAAAGAAAGTTACGCAAACTGATAAATTAGTGTTTCCGTCTACTAGCCTCCGTTTGCGCGTATCGATGATTAGATTATGGTGTTGTAGAAGGTCCATACCGATGATTGGCATAGAAACATCTGAAACAACGAAAATCCAGTAAATGGGTTTGCGTAGACCCCCATTGAGGTAAACGTACCTTTTACCATATATGGCGATAGGTTATGCGTTTACCGCCTGTAAGTTTAAAACTGATTCGTGAAGCCGGTCTTTAGGATTTGCTGGAAGAACACTAAGTTCTGTGCTAGTATCGACGAGGTAGTGAGCTTTCGTTATCACATCTGTGAAGTACAACAGACGGCTATATTCGCCGGCTACGATTGCCGTTAACGCGTGCCGGCTTAGAAGTTCCTCGAATTTTTTTCGCGTTGGTTCATATTGAGTTCAGAAAATTGCAGGGTTTTCCGCAATTTCTGGAAGAATTTTCATATTGGTTATGATACCAAAACCAGTCGGGGTTATCCGTCTTTCTTGGTCTATAGACAGACAATCTACGTAAGGTGCTTCTTCACGGAGTGTGTGGCAGTTTCTGTTCATGAGTCGGAGAGAAAAACAGAGTCCGAGTGATATCTTGATGTAAGACTGGACGAACGAAAAACCTCAGTATTTTTACTGGTAAGTGAAGAAGGATTGTGGTAAATAATAGTGATGCTCTATTCATTCCATACTTTGGTGCCTTCTCCCACTGACATTTTGCATCCCACAAGGCCTTAATGTTTATTTACAGAACAACAGGTACCCTGATTTTAAAACAGTTTGAAACCTTTTATAGTTTATTTTGAATCTCATCTTAAAAAAGCTCTCAAGCTATGTTCCCTTACTCCAAAAAGGTTATTGTTCTCTTGGAATGTTTCCGAAGACAAGCAACCTAAAAGATACTCAGACTATGACATAAACCCTACTGGACTCACCTGGAAACTCTAAGCTTGCGATTTGCACAATAGGGAATTGTAGAAGAAGATATGACCTCTTTTTATCATACTGCTTATAATCCCGTTGACTTATTCATCTTAGTACTAAAATGAACATAATTGGGTAACTTTTTATGGTAGTAGAAGAATAAGTTGCATGAAAATCACTTCAAGCATTTCCTTGGCGAGAATCATAGGATCGTGAAAATTCTTATCAAAGGCTATAATAATACTATCTCTTAAACAATCTCTCAAAAGAATTGCAGAGGTTAACTTTAGTTCCGTATGTATAGAAAATGATCACATCAAATGTTAGTACACGATCTCTTCCACTGATCACACTTAAGAAAGAACATATAGATAGCAATTATTCCCTATTGTTGAAAAAGATCTTCTACAACCAAGTCGCAGAACCTAAGTAACAATAAACACGCTAATTTTCTGCAACAATGTTTGGCTTTTGAGTTTTAAGCGCTCATTTTATGAACTGGCAGAACGCTGAAGGTAAAACAAACTGGTCGTTTGAACCGCTTCATTACACATTAGTCTCTGACTTATCCGTGTTCATTACAAAATTGTGTAAGTTTAAGATTATCTGGTTTTCATGGGGTGGCTCATTGTTGCGAGAGTATAGTTTCCTGAGGGTTTTTTGTTATCCAAACGTGTTAAATCCATAAAATTAAGGGATCACTTAACAAAATCAAGGTTCTTGAGCGTGGAGCGCAATAGAAAAATATTGTTCGGATGTGAGAAAAGCCTATCTTTAGGTTTGATTACACTGACTTAAATGTTGCTTTACTGATTCCTGTTATGTGGTCCTAAATGTATATACATTTAGGGTTACGTAACGAGAATATATCTATTAGATTGTTTATAAATGTTAAAGATGATGTGACATGATGTTTCTATTACACAGAATTTGGTGTGGATTGTAACTCATGCTATACACTCGGGAGTTATTCGGTTTTAAATTACAGCCCGGCTTGGATGGGATTCGAAAATATCTTGTACTCTAACTAGCGCACCTACTACCTTTTCAACAACTAATGTACGTGTTAATTATCATTGTAGTTACACTAATTTTAACAGTAAATTTGGGTAATATCATTGAGCGTTAGATAGTTGCCGGAAATCGTGTGACTTGTTCCATATAATTAATTAAATACTTGACAACCGTAGTGCCTTTTGAAAAGAATTCGCGTTTCTTGTGTCGTCCATGTGCATGGTGTGCAGTTGACAATGTTAGGGACTGGGTTATAGAAAGAGATGCTAATACACTTCGTTTTATCAGGTTTGCGGTTTTCTTGAGATTAACAAATGGGCTTTCAGTAATATTAATATGTATAATCTGTATGTACCCAGTTCTAATAACTTGTTGACCAGTTGGGAGGATCAGTTCGTCTGTTGTATGTACTCATTATTGATTAGACCATCATTTCTGAGTTATCATAAATCTGTTTAGATAAAAAGACAGGTTATTGGTTGTGAGTCGCATGCTGAATATGTTAAAAAAAAATCATTTTCTATGAGAACTAGAAAGGCAGACATATGAAGTTTGCGTGTTAATTTTTATTGACGATAGGTGTGATGTATATGTTCTTTGTCGACTACGTTGTTGGTTTCTGCCAGCAGTTTGGGATACAGTTCACAAGAACGAAACGGTGTCAGCCATCAAAGCAATTTACTGGTGGCTTAAGGATACAAATAACTTATGCCACATTCGGAGCTTGTAAAAGCCACCAGATGAATAATAACCTACAGAAATTAATCGTACTTACGTTTTGTTTAACTTGGGTACCCAAATGAGCTCAGGGATATTGATATTGTCATGTCACGTAAAATGTATGAGAATAAATGCACCATTTACCTCAGTTATTTTCCAAACCCTTCAGACATTACTGCAGGCTATTCAGCTATAACGTACAACTCGACAGGGATGTGTGTTGATTCAAGTCGCAATACATCGGTTCTGCAAGCATTTATTGAAAAAGATAGTATCAGACCACTGGGTTGTACATAAAGCGAGTGCTTACTCCACTCTTAAATTATTTAGGGCCTGTTATTTAAGTATGTCGACTAATCACCGCGATTTGCATCACAATTGCTCCTATTATACGTCATATCTAAAGACAAATCCATTGACAAGATCAACTGCTCAGTTACATAGAATTATAAAAGTTATGGTTAAGTTCATTTATAAGTTAGGAGACTGGGAAGCCAATTAACATCTACCCATACTAGCTCACTATATTTGTCTGAAGCTTATGCATTGTCAACTGTAATCTTATCTGAACAAAGCTTTCAGTACCCGTCATTTTAACTGTTCTACAATCGCGTTTTTGTTTAGTTTTGTTTCAGATCGTGGTCGTCTTGTTTTGTGTTGTTGATTTGTGTTTCCTTCGAAAACACCCTTTTCGAAATATTAATTTTTATCTTGGTGATTATTGAAAGAATCACGAACAAAATAAAGGAGGGAATTATTGTAACGCTAAAAACGGTAGGAGAATTTAAATATTTTTTGATCGGGAAAGTGTCACTTTGATCCACGATAACTGATCAGTTTCTGCTATTCGGTTGTGTCAGTGCAGTTGAAGCCTAACTTTATCTCGTCGGGACATTCTTCATACGACCATTCCAGCCAGCTTATCAGGTTGTACTCTACGGCGCTTCAATCCTGAAAATGGCCAGCGAAGACAGTAAGACACTTGTAAATAAAGAATTTCTTACAGGCGTTGTTGAAGGTATGTTGTACATTATGTTCTATCTCATTTACACTTAGGGTTTTATGGTCGACCTTGGACATATCCTCAACGGAAAGAATTGTTTCGGAGAATGAATCAAATGGGGATGAATGCTTACCTATATGCTCCTAAGGATGATATAAAACACAGACAGTCATGGAGGGATTTGTACACTCCAGAGGAAGAGCAGCAACTTCAGTTTTTGATCACTGAGTCCACTGAAGCTGGAGTACTTTTTATTTTTGCTATATCACCGGGCTTAGATGTAACGTTCTCTAGTGCTAAAGAAGTAGATATTTTAAAGAAAAAAGTTGATCAGGTAAGCGTATACACATTTGGTTTATTCATAAAGATTGAGTGCCTTCAAAATGTAGTCCGAACACAGAATCATGGTTTTCCACTAATTACAGAAAATTTAATCAGTCTAGGTACTTAGATACTCAAGGTGATGTAATTAGAGCTGTTTATTCTGACAAGTAGACTTCGAGAGCGTTTAGGAAATTTTTAAGGTCACTGCCTCAGATATTTAGTGTTTATCTACCCCACCTATTTTCATCTAGATGGGTGGATGACTTTTCTAACTCCTCAATAACTGGTTCCAAAGCTCATTGTATCAATATGTACGTGGGAATTGAGTTGCAAAATAGTTTATTAACCAATCTATTTATATGAAATATAGGATATCTTGCGCTTTCTGTTTTGTGTTATCAAAGACGTCTCTTTAGAGTTGTTATTACTAACATTCAGTGATTCCCTTAAGTATTGGCTGCTCTTACGAATGCTACTCGCACTGTAGCTGAGATGTTTATCTGCTTTCTTAAAACCTGCGTACAACTTCATATTCACTTTAACCTGCTGAATGATCACCAGGGGATCTTTTACAAAAATATGGTTCCAGTTATCTTTTTTCGTCCCTCAAATATTAGTCTATGTTAACGGCATCAGAGCTAATTAGTGATAGGAAATATTAAGCACTAGTCAAAGTTGTTATCCTGTTTCCTAAAATCTACAGACGTTAGTGTTACTTTTATCCTTTTCTCACGGGTTCTCTGGTTTGTTTTGCTAGCAAATCATAGTATATCTACAAACGAACTTGTGCGAATGAATCCCGAACTATGTAAATACTGCAACTTCAAACCAAGAAAAAAAGCCGTTTTTTAATCTGTTGGTGGTATTTTAGAAACATTAAAGTATTCATTTATGGAAAAATGCCCATTTTTAAATTATTAGTGATTGTTTCTGATCTGACTCGGTGTATTTTGAAGTTGATTCATATTGATTACAAAACATCTCTCCCTTTATATATATATATATATATATATATATATATATATATATATATATATATACTCATTATGGTAAAGATTTATAGCTCAGATAGATGCTTTTTTAATGTTTCACTTTTTTAATCTTACTTACTTACTTACGCCTGTTACCCCTCATGAAGGAGCATAGGCCGCTCACCAGCATTCTCCATCCAACCCTGTCCTGGGCAAACTTTTCTAGCTCCGTCCAGTTGTAATTCATGGTTTTCATATCTGCTTCTATTATCCGACGCAATGTGTTCTTTGGCCTTCCTCTTTTTCGCTTCCCTTCAGGATTCCAAGTTAGCGCTTGCCTCGCGATGCAGTTTGACGATTTGCGTAATGTATGTCCTATCCATTTCCATCGTCTTTTCCTAATTTCTTCTTCAGCTGGAAGTTGGTTTGTTCTCTCCCACAGAAGGCTATTGCTGATGGTATCCGGCCAATGGAAGTTGAGTATCTTGCGTAGACAGCTATTTATAAATACTTGTACCTTCTTGGTTGTGGTTGTTGTAGTTCTCCAAGTTTCAGCTCCATACAGTAGAACTGCCTTGACGTTGGTATTGAAGATTCTCACTTTGATATTGGTTGAAAGTTGTTTTGAGTTCCATATGTTCTTTAACTGTAGGAATGCTGTCCTTGCTTTGCCAATCCTTGCCTTTACGTCTGCATCTGAACCTCCTTGTTCATCGATGATGCTTCCTAGGTATGTGAAGGACTCTACATTTTCCAGAGTTTCGCCATCAAGAGTGATTGGATTGTTGTTTTCCGCTTTGAATTTGAGGACTTCGGTTTTCCCTTTGTGTATGCTGAGGCCTACTGATGCAGAGACTGCTGCTACACTGGCTGTCTTCATCTGCATCTGTTCGTGTGTACGTGATAGGAGGGCTAGGTCATCTGCGAAGTCCAAATCGTCTAATTGATTTCGAGGTGTCAATTGAATTCCGTGTTTTCCTTCAGATGTCGAGGTCTTCATAATCCAGTCGACCACCAGAAGAAAGAGGAAGGGAGAGAGTAAACAGCCTTGTCTGACTCCGGTCCTTACTTGGAATGCATCTGTCAGCTGTCCTCCATGCACGACTTTGCACTGTAGTCCGTCGTATGAGTTCCGGATAATGTTGACAATCTTCTCAGGAACTCCATAGTATCGAAGAAGTTTCCATAATGTCCTCCTATCCACATTGTCGAATGCTTTTTCATAATCAATGAAGTTGATGTATAGTGATGAGTTCCACTCAACTGATTGTTCGACGATGATCCGTAGTGTTGCAATTTGGTCTGTGCATGATCGATCCTTACGGAATCCAGCTTGTTGATCTCGAAGTTGGGCGTCTACTGCATCTTTCATCCGGTTCAGCAACATTCTGTTGAAGACCTTCCCTGGTATTGACAGCAGTGTAATGCCTCTATAGTTTTCACATTTGCTCAGATCTCCTTTCTTTGGAATCTTGACGAGGTGTCCTTCTTTCCAGTCCATCGGCACTTGTTCCTCTTCCCAAATCTTTTTGAATAGAAGGTAAAGCATGTTTGTAGTTGCTTCGATGTCTGACTTCAGTGCTTCAGCTGGTATGTTGTCCGGACCCGCTGCTTTGCCGTTCTTGATTTGTCTGTCGGCCATTCTGATTTCTTCCTTCGTTGGTGGGTTGACGTCTATGGGAAGATCTGTACGTGCCGCTTCGATGTCCAGTGGATTCATTGGAGCCGGCCTATTCAGGAGTTCCTCGAAGTATTCTACCCATCTGTTCCGCTGTTGTTGAATTTCGGTGATTGGCTTGCCTTCTTTGTCTTTGACCGGTCTCTCTGGTTTACTGTATTTCCCTGCTAGTTTCTTCGTTGTATCGTAAAGCTGTTTCATATTTCCTTCTCTAGCAGCTTTTTCTGCCGTCGTTGCTAGTTCTTCCACGTATTTCTTCTTGTCGGCTCTAATGCTCCTCTTCACTTGTTTGTTTGCTTCTGTGTATTCAGCTTGTGCTTGGACTTTCTCTGCCCGTGTTCGGCTGTTGTTTATTGCTGCTTTCTTGTTCTTCCTTTCTTTGATCTTGTCCAGTGTTTCTGTAGAGATCCATTCCTTATGATGGTATTTCTTTAGACCCAGAACCTCTTGACACGTTAAAGTTAATGCTTCCTTGATGCCTTTCCAGTTGTCCTACATACTAGTATCTTCTTCCTTCCGTAGATCTTGTAAGGCTTGGAACCTGTTGTTGAGAGCTATCTTGAATTCATTGAGTTTGTCAGTATCTCGAAGGAAGGCTGTATTGAACCTTTGTAGTGCTGTTTGTCCACTTGTCCAGTTCTTTTTTAGCTTCAGTTTTAAATTGGCCACAACTAGGTGGTGATCTGAAGCTACGTCAGCACCTCTCCTGGTTCTCACATCTTCAATTGTCCTTCGGAATTTTTTGTTGATGCAAATATGATCTATTTGGTTCTCTGTAGTGTGGTCCAGTGAGATCCATGTAGCCTTGTGTATACGCTTGTGTGGAAATATTGTGCCTCCTATGACCAATTTGTTGAATGCACATAGATTTGCAAATCTTTCTCCATTTTCGTTTCTTTCTCCCAGTCCATGTCGTCCCATAATATCTTCATATCCAGTGTTGTCTATTCCGACTTTGGCATTTAGATCTCCCATCAGAATAGTTAGGTCCTTTCTTGGGCATTTCTCAATGATTGACTGCAGCCGTTCGTAGAACTGATCTTTAATGTCGTCGTTGCTATCATTTGTGGGTGCATAACATTGGATGATATTCATTAAGATCCCCTCCTTCTTTGTCTTGAATGATGCTTTGATGATTCTGGATCCATGAGATTCCCATCCTAAAAGTGCATTTCGTGCTACTTTGGACAGCATAAGAGCGACTCCCTGAGTGTGTGGAGCATTGTCCTCTTCGTGACCGGAGTATAGCAGCATCTCTCCCGTAGCTAGCCTTTTCTGTCCAGCTTGGGTCCAGTGGGTTTCGCTGATTCCCAGTACTGCCAAGTTGCATCTCCTCATTTCCATTGCTGTTTGACTGGTCTTCCCGGTTTCCCACATTGTTCGAACGTTCCGTGTACCTATAAAAATTTTTGCTCTGGTTGTTAAAAGGGGCATCGGCCTCGTGGCTTCCGAAGGAACTCGGCTTTCACCATGAAGCGTCATAATTCTTCTAAATGAAGACCTTCTAACTCCCAGGGCAGAGTTTAAATGGTTTGGATTATTTTTTCTGGTAAGCGTTTTTTTAGCGAGTTAGTTTTCTACGGGATGGGGACGCTAACCCCATGCCCAACCCTCCTCCTTTACACGGGCTTGGGACCGGCAGTAACCCTATAAGAGCTACAGGCGGAGTTACTTTTTTAATCGGATGGTTTAATTGGGTAGTTTTCATTGTTGTGGTCGACATTATCATTGCTTTTTATTATTAGTCTTACTATTTATTCCTAATCATTAAAGGCTCACTTCTGTGTGAATTAGGCATTGATAATGTTGTCTAGAACGCAATGAAAGCCTGATAGTTAGGCCATCCAAGTCAAAGAATACAACACCACAATATTTGTTAATCAACTGCTTTTGTCGGTACTAAACGTCAGTAAGTCATGTTTGTGTCTATTTATTGTGTGGACTTGTTGAAATTATGACTGGTCTTCAGCTATGTGCTTGAACTTTTGATGGAGGTTTGTAGGATATTTATGAAGTATGGTTAGGGGTTTTAGATGACGCGACAAAATAGATCACAGTGGCCTAAATGTAACTGTTTTTTGCTTTACTTTAGTTATTGAGTATAGTAATATTTAGCACTTCTCCTGGATTTCAATTTTTCATGAGACTTACATTTCTTATACATAGTTTTCCACAGCAATTATTATTTCAAATTCGTTGCTTTTCGTTCTGCTAATTCTTCTTTACTGTATCGTGGCTTTTGTTAGTTTTTATTCTTACCAGATCGTTGGTTGTGTTTGTCAGTAACGTTTTAGGTTTGTTTTGATAACCCGTATATATGCATCATATATAATATCGATGTTTTAGGTTTCAAAACTTGGTTGTCGTGCATTTGCCCTTCTTTTTGATGATATTGAACCGCGCCTATGTCCTGCAGATCGAGAGGTATTTAACTCATCAGCCCGTGCTCAGGTTATGTTCGCGAATGAAATTTACAATCATTTAGGATGTCCAGATGTCTTTTTATTCTGTCCAACGGAGTACAGTGCAAGTTTAGCAGTACCTAATATTAATAAGTCAGAATATCTAGCGACAGTCGCTTCCTGTTTAGCACCAGGTAATATATTTGTAACTTACTCTTTTTTAATATTTCGTCTTATGAATTCATAAGTTTCTTATTTACATCTATTATCGTTTCTAGTTTAAGCTCATTTCACCACAGAGCGTAAATGAACATTGGTTGCACTCACAAGACGTCATTAAAATGTTAGATAATGTCTCTCTCAGTTTTGGTAAGCGTCCCTCATATAAACACTAAATTTCCGCAGAATTTTTAACGCTTTTTGTCCCTTGTCGGTTTATTCTGGAAAACCAGGAGTCAGCCTAGGTAAAGATAAAAACCTATTAGTCGTAGAGTGCTACAGAACTGTAATCAGTGGATATACTTGTTGCGCGATAAACTCAGGATAGTCGCAACAAAAACATCGTGTCAGTAAAACGGTTTGTGGTTGACGGTGTGACAATTAGTAATCCTCAAAGACGTGCTGAACGAATGGGTAAGGTGCTTCAGCGGACAATTCGATTGATTCATTGTCCCAGAAACTCCGATCAGATTTGTCTAATGTTTCAAGTGCATGATTTTGTTAGAAACTCAATCATTGACCCAAAATGTTCAGATAAAATAGTGTTTGATCAATATGCTGACGAAACAGTCTTTTAAATACCTTGAGTAATAAATTAGTTTTCCTCCCAACTGCGAAATTTTACCTCAGGGCTGATTTGTGTCAGTACCTATTTTAATCATATGAAGTAAACTACATCTACCAACATGGCTAAGACTAGAAGTTAGTGACTTTAAGGACTGATGCCACGTTTTGCTTTGGCCGCCCCTAAGTTCCCTCCAACCGTCTCCCACATTAGTCAGCTTTGAGCGTCGTGGTAATGGGTGTTCAGGCATACGTAACACGTGGCCCAACCATCTTAGTCGATGGAGATTTACAACCTCATGAACTGATTTATCATCATTCTCTAATACCCTGCGTCTAACCTCACTATCACTTACCCAGTGATCCCATCGGTTGTGAGCAATATTTCTGTGGTCAGATACTAGTAGCTTACGAGTATCTTCTACACTTAATGGCCACATTTCGCAGCCATAAAGTAGAACTAAACGAACTGCTGTGCAGTATACTCGTCCCTTAAACGATAGACGGATATCTCGCCTTCGCCATAGGTGACGTAAGTTGTCAAAAGCCCAACGAGCTTTTCGAATCCGTGCAGAGACTTTGTCGGACACCAACCCATTAGGGCTGATCAGACTTCCAAGTTAAGTGAGGTTGTCATCTCGTTCGACTACTTCACTCCCTATCCTTAGTTCAGGTGTTGACCCATTTCAGTCCTGGAGCAACATCTTGCATTTAGAAGGGGGTAAAGCGCATCCCAAACATTCTAGCATTGCTGCTCAGTGCTACCAGAAGACTGCATTTTATCAGCGTTTTCATCAAACAGAACTGTATCATCTGCGTATTCTAAGTCGATAAGTGGACCTCCTGGTAGGAGACCAATACCCGAGAATTCAGTGAACGAGAACGTTGTTTCCATCAGTATGTCTACTATGAAGTTGAACAAAAATGGAGATAGTGGACAGCCTTGTTGGACACCACTTGAGGTTGCAAAAGTAGATGACAGTTCGCCATAAGCTCTGACTCGACTAGTAGTGTTCGAGTAAAGAGCCTTTACAAGGTTTATGTACTTCTGGGGTACGCCTTTCAATGACAGACACTGCCACAGAATCTCGCGGTCTACCGAGCCAAATGCTGCTTTTAAGTCAAGAAAGACCACCATTGTCGGACGCCGATAAGTATGCCTGTGTTCTAGAACCTGACGAATGGTGAATATGTGGTCGATGCAGCCACGACCAGGTCTGAAGCCAGCTTGGTTTTCTCGTGTTTGCAGTTCACGAGTCTTAGGCGTCTGATAATTATCGAGGCTTGTATTTTAGATACTATATTTGTTAAACTAATCCCTCTGTGGTTGTCACAGGATGATTTTGACTCTTATATATTGTGACAATAAGTCATTGTGACCAGTCAGATGGGATAACGTCCAACTCCCAGATTTTAGCTAAAACATTAGTCAACCTAATCGCTAAAATTGGACCACCATCCTTAAAGACCTCTGGAGCCAATCCATCTGGACCAGCTGCTCTTCCTCATGTCAGATTAGCTATAGCTTTCTGAACTTCAGCTATCGTCAGGGGACCTACTTCAATGTTCCATTTAGGCTATCTGGGAATGGTGGGTAGTTGTAGAGTAGCTGAAGGCCAGCTGAACTGCTTCTTAAAATGTTCCGCCCATCGTTCTAAACGTCTGAACTGGGAGCAAATAAGATTGTCGTCTTTTTCCGAAATAGTCTCACTTACACTTGATTTGTTAATTCCAGTTTCTTTTATTAGTCTGTAGAGCTGTCTCGCGTTACATACAGCCTCTGTCTTTTCCATCTCTTTTGCTTCCGTTGCCCACCACTGCACACGGTCGTTAATTAGACTTTTGTTTAACCTATATCTGACTTGTTTTCGTTATTTATCGTGTTCAGAGCCTGATGGGATGAGTTTACGAGAATCTATCAGTCCAATAGACTTAGTAGAAATCCATTGGTTTTTTGTAACCTTTTGATTCAAATTACTAGTAGATGTCACTGCTATTTTCACAGCTGTTCGTATATCCTCCAAAGTAACATCTGGATCATCCCTGTTTTCAGAACTGCCTAAGTGTGACCTCAGTTGTTCCTGTAATATACTTTTGGCTTATTCATTGCTGAGTTCAATTCTAAAGGGTCTTCTTAGTGTGGTTTTTCTGCGTCCAGTGAGGCACAGGCAAATGTGTTCTCGTACTACAGCATCATCAGGGCCTAAACATGTACTCCAAAACGAGCTGAAGTCTTCTATCAAGCATCTCCAACGATGGTTGATGACAATATGGTCTACTTGAGTCGTGTTGGTTTGGTGAAGAGGGTCGCCATGTTAGACGATGTATCTCCTTATGCTTAAAATTTGTGTTTGCTGAAAATAAACGATTGTCTGATCACAGTTGCAGCAGACGATCACCATTATCTGTTCGTTGTGCCGAAATACTAAAATACCCACCTAAATGCCTTTCTGTTTGGTTTAAACTACCTATCTGGGCATTAAAGTCACCTGCTACGAGTACTATGTCTGAACGTTTAGCTTTCTGAAGAAGTTTAGATAGCTTTCTGTAAAATTCATCTTTCACATCATCTGAGCTGCAATCGGTGGGAGCGTAGGCAGAAACGACGAACAGGCAATGATGTTTGTCCCTATCCTTCCGAGTTCTTATGGAGCTGTTTAGCCGAAAAGCACATAGGCGACTGTTATTGTAGATGACAGTGAAAGTTAGGTATTATTTTTTGTCTGAATTTCATTACTATTTCGAAAAAAGCAACTATGATCTGACAGTATGTCCTCGATATGAAAATATAGGCAAAATAACATTCTTATATATGTAGTTAGTAAATTCTCAAAGTTAATGTTTTTTTCTTTTAATTAATGCTTAAAAATTGACTTAAGGTATCGCTGTAATCTGGACCGGTCCGCTTGTAGTATCTAAACGAATTTTAACTAAGGAGCTGAAGGAATTATCTACTTTACTACAACATCCTATCGTTTTATGGGACAATCTACATGCTAATGATTATGACCAGCGTCGCGTATTTATAGGACCGTACAGTGGTCGACCCTTAGCTTTACGTCGCCAAGGCTTGCTTAGAGGAGTGCTGACCAATCCGAATTGTGAATTTGAAGCAAACTATGTGGCGTTTCATACTCTTGCACAATGGTCGAGGTAAATTGCAACTTGGTTTTTGTAATTTATCTGCATTAGGAAATGTATTATAACAGTTGTCTGTATCAGTAATTTAAACAGTAAACTCCCGTTTACACAGTCACGTATTAAGATTTGGACTGTTGTTACTCGACCAAAAGATCAAATTTAAAAAAATGATATTCATTTTCAAATATGCTTATTAATTCTCAATATTAGCGCAACTATTTTCTTAAACTCTGTTGAGTGTAATTCACATAGAACGCACTCCTGACTTTTATTGGAATTTTAATGTAAAAGTTGATTATCTCGGCTTTACTTCTGCTGATATACCACTGAAATACACATCCTGCTTGTTCTCGATATCCTTACGTTCGTTTTTATGTAGAAGGCGGCGGTTATACTGTTTTTAAACGTAAGGAGAAACTGAAAAGTTACATATCACCGATCATATGTTTTTTTCATAGTCTGTTTTAATTAAGCAATATTAAAAGTAAGTGCTATTCACTTTTTAATCTAGACAAGCTGGTAGCAAACATATAATACAATCAACTGATACAGAAATGCTATGTACAAGTGAGGATTTTGAATCTAATGCTTCTGATGATAACGAAGTGATTGATGATGGTATCGATGACCAAAAGTCAGGTGATATTAATGAACACCCGTCTGTCTGTCAGGATGACTGTGTAAGTAGAAAACGACAATATGCATCTGTTTACAGACCTCGTGAGGCTCTCCGTATAGCTTTGCGAGATTGGCTTGCATTAATGCTTCAGGTTAGTTTATATGCACACTTTCTACTGCATAATTTTTCTGAGTTTTGCCTGAGGTGTAAATCTAATTTGATCTATACAATACACCGGACTGTTGTTTAGAGTTTAAATACCTACTCAATGTCACTAGTCTTTGCACATTAGATGTGGCTTGCAGTCTAATTCACTAAACTTCACATAGTTATTGTCCCATGTAATCGCTTACAGTTTGTATGTGTATCATTTAATGTTTCTTATCCATTGCAAATTTAATACATTAATTGAAAAGTTATTTTGGTGCCCATCGAAATTTTATTCGCTTCATACGCGTACTTTTCACTTTATTAACTTCTTGATCGAATTCAGGTACGTTTATGTTATAACTTATGGCCTTGTACCCTTATCCATATATGACGTCGTGATACCGCCAATTAGAGAACGGTGATTTATCGGCCGGACCAATGACGCATAAAATCCGTACGAGCAGTCTAAAGTCTTTATTGGTCCCTCTTCCTGCCTAACCTTGACTGTTAAGTCCAGAACACCAATCTCAGCCTCCGTGATATCAATAATGTATTTCGAACAAACTGGGTTCATATACAAACCAAACAGACTACATCGTGCCATAAAATAGGAAATAACATTTGTACACGTTCTAGCCAAAAGTGGCTGTGAATGTGGGAGACTGTAATTAATATAGTGGGCATAACTCATGAACGGTAAACCGTATAATACTAGTCTGCGTCAAAATAAAGCTTATAATAAGAGGAACATGAATATGCATAGTTTAACTACTTAACAACTATACAATAAAAATATATGTATCGTATTGGTCCATAAATAGTTCTCAAAAGTTACCATTCATAATTCTCGTCGGAATATAACAGTTTACCAATTGCAGACTGGACAGTGACCATTGTTTGAATGTACTAACAACTGGTTTTTTGTTAGATTACTTACTTACACTTGTCTCCAAGAACGACGTGTCTGATTTTCAGAGGGTGAGGCTCGACTTACTTACTTTACTTATTTACTAACTTACGATTGTTACTCCCAATAGAGAATAGGCTGCGGACCAACATTCTCCAACCCACTCTATTCTGGGCCTTCTTTTCGAGTTCTATCTAATTGTTATTCATTCTTCCCATGTCTGTCCTGATTTCTCGGCGTAATGTGTTATTTGATTTTCCTCTTCTCCTTTTTGCCTTGAGGATTCCATATGAGGACTTGTCTTGTAACGCAGTTAGGTGCTTCCTTCAATGTGTGTCCTATGCACTTCCAGCACTTCATCCTGATTGGTTCCTCTGCTGAGCATGGAGCTCCTCTGGGGGCCACTACCGGTCCCAAGCCCGGGTGAAGGAGGAGGGTTGGGCATGGGGTTAGTGATCCCATCCCGTAGAAATCTAACTCGCTAAAAAACGCTGATCAGAAAAAATACCCGCTGGACTTGCTACTCCATCAATAAAAAACATTTTTAGAGATTAATGAAATGCTTGCTAACTTTTCGCATAATTTGAAGTACTAGTAGTATGTAGTCTACTGTTTTCGAACTTAATTAATTGTAAATTCTGATCCATTTGTCAGTTTTTATAAACAGAAATTCTGACATCGATTTAGATATCATCTTTAGTGCGTCCTCACGAACAGTATCTTGTTCTTAAAATTTTTAATCGTAAACTGATATGGGATTTACCTTACACATATAAAATAGTGGGTTTAATATTACACATGTTTAGGATTATCGATAAGTTTCTAGAGCGTTTCTTATCATTTGACGTTTGATAGTGTTTTTAGCTCTGTTGATACTTTTAATGTTTTTTTTTACCACCGTCTTCAATTACTAAGGTATAGCTCTAAATTTTCATTTAAAGGTTGGCGCTTCAAAACCTAGCACGGCTATAGGTACTCCTACACCTATGGATACAGATAATCTTGAAACTGGTCAAAACGAAGCTCCCATGCAGGTAAATTGAACGTTGTCAAAGGGTTATTTTTCTCTTAAAATATCTTAATTCAAATTCATTATCTTGAAATGTCATGTGTTGTTTTTTTGGTTTTCTTGGTTACATTATCTTGCTTTAATCACAGTAGCATAAAAAGTTTCTTTCATATATGCAGGTTACAAATTTATCTCTCAGAAATCCTACCGTTGTTCATCAACTTACAGGTTTCTGAAATTTCTGTTACTCAGCAAAGATTCGGAACATTATATAGACCCCTATACGGCCCAGTGTTTTTGGTTTGTCTGTATCAAAACAGTCTCTCAATAAGCACTGGAAAAGTACTCAACAGTTTAGAGATATATCAGTGTTGTTTGTTGTTTCTCTATTTTTAGCTGGTAGTAAGAGAATCTTGTCTGGTTCTAAAATCTGCATGTCTTTACAAGAGATAATCATTTACGCTTAGCTGATTCAGTCGATCTAGTTGCTCATTTCTTCTTATCTGCATTTTCTGTTTGAAATACACTTGTATATGTAGATTATGGATTGTGATGTAATCGCGCTTTGCTTCACAGTACTGGATATAGCTTATCATTTAGATTTACTTAGCACGGTGGTATACGATGTAAGAATTCAAGTGAGTACTAGCTAATAATTAGGATAGTTTGTGGAGTATCAAAGATGATGTTACACTTTTAATGAATGAACATAAATATATCAATACCAAATGATCATGTGTACAATGATGTCTGTTGATTTTGAACAATAGTTACAGTCTTCTAACTAATTAAATACAAGTTCAAAACTATTTTTAACAAATTTCTTCCTTTCATGGATTGTCATTTTTTACTAAGAATATATACAACTTGCCATATGAGAGCTTCTGATTCTTGTTAAAGCTATAAACTTTGTTTCATAATATAACTTAGTTTTGTTGATGTGTGCAATTCAAAGTGATTCGACTTTGGTTCGGTTTGAACGAGAAACATAATGTAATGCGGTTACTTATAAAAGTTAGCGAAGACTCATATCTCGTATCTTAGAAAGCTGTAAACTCACTTGATGTTCTGTGTATGTCAAATTTGCCGTCTTATTTCCGTGAATTTATCTCCTCTATATGCATTCACCAGTTTGAATGGTCATGTGAAAATAGTTACAGTAGACGTGTAGTGAACGAACATACAGGTGGGGGTAACCAATGTATTTTAATACAAAATTACACAGTATCTTGGTAAAACATAAGATCCATATATAAAATACTTCATTTGCAGATATCCCACCAATTGTTCTTTACATTTCCTGTGATTATTCTAATTTATAATTTATTCTTATTTTCATTTCTGTTTTCTTCAATTCGATCTTCTTAGCTTTCTGCTGCCATGCGTCTCACTCCTTATTGGTGTTGCATGCTACTTATGTCTGTCGACATAAGTAGCATGCACCACACTCGTCTTCCCTTTAAAAATGGTCGTTCTTGAGGTTGTTCTGCTCGCCGTGCCACTTCTTTACTGCAGTCTGTGCCACACTGACTTTCGTAACTCTATCGACATAAGTAGCATACAGATGTACAGTTAGATAAACCAGTCTCCGAATTTCTTGACAATATCCATCTTGAAGGAGACAAAAGACTAATATCACATATGCTGTTCATATCATTTTGATTGCATTTGTCCAACTAGTCTCATGCAAGTGATTAATCAGGATCATCAGTCGATTCTAACGTTAAGTGTTTTATATTGTATTATTAAGTTAAACAGTGATACCAATATCAAATAATGTTTTCCAATAAGATGTTTTCAAATCTATACAGGTATTTATTGCCGTGTAAATTCCACGTAATATTTGCTTTAATTGATAATTATTAGGTTGAATCCACTCCTTCCAATGTCGTCATGACTTCTGATAATAATTCTTCTGAGACCCCTATTTCAGGTTAGTCAATCAAATTTGTTGACAACATAAAGCGTATATTACCAATACAACGTAAATATTTGTTTACAATTTATTTAAAATCAACATTATAACAGTTCAAATAGTTTTATTAATTGTTAGTTTATTCACTTAATTAACAGTTCTCGAATATTTATTATGAATAATAATATGACAAAGAGAGTAAAATCATGATCTCGTTATCTTTTGAGTGTTATAACTCAATCTGTAAAGTATTTGAGGCCGTAGTCTAGATGGAGCTAGTTCAAATATTCCCATGACCCAGGATTTCTAAGATAATTTTAATTATCACCTGTGTATATAATTAGCGCCTTATAGAAATGGAGGTTGTATTGAAATACCATTGAATATTCACATTTTTATTTTATGAAGAAAGGTATCACAAATCTAAGATTTTCGATCTTTAATCTGACGAATCCCCGTTGCGAAAATCGAATCATTCAGTTATCACAGGAAACCTATTCTATCAGTAACTGGTGTCATTCACTAGCCAGTGTACTTAAATCTAAGTAATGCTTTTTATAGAGAGGTTAATTGTATGGATTTAGCTACCTCCAAACTGAAGTAAATGAAACAGATGTGTTAAGCCTATGACCACCAATTACTGAAAATCAAGCCCTTTAACTATCGCGATACCGCTCTAATTAGAAATAATGTTGTGTCTTAATTGTCTCACATCAGTAACCCAAATCGATTTACATAGGTTGGTGATATGTTTTTTAACCAGACGATTGTATACCTTATGTCCTTGACCAGGTTATTGAAACAAATCACATCGAGAAAGTAAATAGATTGACTAATCTAGTAAACTGAAGATTACTATTTTGTTATATCGTGTCTTGACCTTCTAGCTACTATGTCGTCAGTATGATTTTAATTATGTCAAATAAATCTGTGTCACCCATGCAGTACAATCTCAGTTAATCAAACCAGTCGAGTGTTTATCTAACCACATGATTACAACCTCGGTTGTAACAATACTGTCTTTTCTAACAAAGTTAGCATTGGATTTAAACTTATGTGTAATACGAATAACTAATTCAAGTTATTACGCAGTGTATTCTAAATTCCTAATTATTTTCTGGTACTAGTCAAGGATGAATCATGGTACTAAAAAATTATGTATTTGCTGCATTTCTTACATTGTTTTGCATCACTAGACAAAGGGAAGTAATCATGATAGGAATAGCTTATCTTTATTTTCCTCATATTAATAATAATAATAATAATAATAATAATAATAATTATTATTATTATTATTATTATTATTATTATTATTATTATTATTATTAGTTTGCTTTTAGTTACTATACAATACAATCACTTGTTATAATCTCAGCTGACGTGTAATCGAAAATATATTGGCGTAAATACAGACTGATATACGTAAACTCTACTGACAAGAATTCATAAACAAACTCATCTAAAACTTGCAATTTTATTAATTTATTTTCCATCAAATTATTATTATTATTATTATTAATATTATTATTATTATCACTTTAGATATGTATCCTTTCTTAAATATGTGCTCTTATAGGTGATGTAAATTCAGTTACTGTTACCTTAGAGGATTTGGAAATGTTCGCTGATCTTTTCTATTTACCTTTCTCTCATGGACCCTCAGCTATTCGTCTACTAGAATTAGGACATTGGTTACGCGAATATTCGTATGTTTGTGGACCTAACCCATCTGATTTTGAGGTAATAGTCATCAATTATGAAGTTCAGTGTGAAGATATCTTTTTGTTCTGAAAGTAATGCTTTCATATTATACAATGTGAAGAAGCATTCCATTAATATTCATCTTACATAAGTACAGTTAGCTTTATTTCTTGCTAATCACAAGTGATAAATCAGCATGTTTCCACTTTTTGTTCTAAATAATCAAACGTTGCATTAACTAATCGAAATGTAATAATCTTCATTTCATAAGTTAATAATATCTCTCATTTATTTTGCCTTTTGAACTTTTTTTTAACTGAATGACCGACCCGTTTTAAAATCCGTGTGATTTATTTTCCAATCATCTTGGTTCTATTCTTTTCGCCTTCAGATTTAAGAATTTTATATCATCCAACAGAATTTCTGACATTCTAATAATATAAAGTCATGGCAATTTGATAATACGATATCTTTCCGCTTTTTTAGGTCGCGTTAGTAGAACTTCGTTTCCTTCTGTCTCGTTAAGTTGCTTACTTACGTTCGTTATACCTCGTGGAGGAGCATGTCTCTTAGGATTATCTTTCCTTAGATCATGCACGTTTGTCGACTTTGTTTCGAAAAACTGGAGGATATTACAATGGAATTGATCAAATGATGTGGAATTAAACTTGTAACTCTAAAAATAACGAATGTAAATTCTTCAAGTTTGTAAATGAGGGTAGTTCACAGTTATGGAGATAATTACAGAGTTTAATGTTATTAATACAACCAGCAACTTATGTCTTTATGTGGTTTATAATCTAAAATAATCTTAAAATCAGTGGTTGGAAACGTAAACTCGCATAGCTCAGAACAGATCACAATGACACATATACATGCACCCTTTATCTTCATTCAGATCTTCAGTTTCAGTATTTCTTCATATATATCTTTTCAATCAGTCTTTTTGAACCACATTTTCAAAATTTAGCCTTTCTCACTACCATTACTGCTACAATTATCTCAACTCATTCTCTATTAATCCTGTTAATTTCATCTAGTCAATACTGATGTGGTATAGAGAATTGAGCTAACTTACATTTGTATCAAACTCTGTAGATTATAACTAGTTGAATAATTAGAAATCAACAAAATATCATGGTAGTTTCTTTATTTTTTCACTCATTTTTTTACTTTTAGAAAGCAACTGAATGGAACAAAAAGTTATCAGATTATATAGAAATGGTTTCTACAATCGGTCGAATACGAGATCGTATACAACGTTTACCATCTAAAAGTATTTCTTATGAACTAGTACCATATATAACCGAAGTTCATAGTGTAGTTGGAATTATTCTGGATTATTTCCGATGGTTAGGTAAGCCTTACGCTATATATATATATATATATATATATATATATATATATATATATATATAGTCAGAGTACTTTTCAAATTTACAACCAGGGATTTAAATGGTTTCGCTTTGTTTATTGTTGCCTAAAAACATTCGGAACACACATTCAACCATAATCCATATTCAATATAATCGTAGAATGAACAGTAATGTTTTTGGTGGAATATGTATTCTTTATTTGTATTAGTCTGAAATTATGACCATAATAAAACTGATCGCAAATTAATTCCCGTGTAAATTCCTACAAACCTATCAGTTGTGACAGTAAAAACGTTTCTACTAATTGTTTCGAATTGTATTTGTTGGTTTATTTCATGAATATAACCTTTCCAAGTCTCCACATATAGTTTAGTTATTCTTCTGAAGTATTATTGCTCTTAACATTTCAAGGAAAATATTGTCTTAAACCGAGTAATTCTCCGCCCTCCAGTTCATTTATAAGTTCTATTCAATGAAACGACCAAAGTTTTCGGTGTTTTGTTCTCTGAGCTGGATGGTTTAGTCGTGGAGATTTCATCGTTATTCCGATCGACATCATCAGCACAAAATCCAGGTAGAAGTAAATTTTTCTTACAATATTGTTCCATCTATTAACCTGAGTTCCCAGATATTTAGCATAACTAGTGTTTTTCTTAATATTTTACAGAAACTGGAGTCATGGCTTTTCGTAGCATGTCTCATTTAAAGCGGCTTTTAACATGTAAGTTTTTATAGGTTTGCTACTGTTTATACATATTGAATACCAGTAGTTTAATAATTAATACAAGATTTTCTTGAACCTGATCCCGTATAGGATTGCACCATTGTGAAATCCTAGACTATTATCAAACGATTATTTATTCCTATTTTCCATTAATTCTCAGCTTGATTAAACATCATGATCTAAATTATCTTAGAAAAAAATTATCATTTATTGTTGTGGTTGTAGCCAATATTAGCTGATATATACATGATTACGCATGAAAATGGGGGGCGTGTTATTGATTTACAGTAGCTTAGGCTTCAAACTAGAGGAAAACTGTTTATTATTAGTTTCGAGGGTAAACTATAGTGGAAATCATTTGTTAGAGAAGGGAAGCGTCTTGAAAGAGCTCATTTTTGTTTCTAAACATTTGTCTTCTGTTTAAGTCAAAGTGGGGTACTTTGCGTAATTCCTATGTACCACCTCTAGGCTTAATATCATTTTAATGTAAATACACAGTGTATGTATATTTTGGGCTTCCTTGTCAATGATGCTGTTCGGTGTACGGCTGTTCGTTTGTTCTTTGTGGATCATTTTGTATTTCATCAGAACTAAAAGAATTTGCGTTATTCTTATTTAAAATCTTCCATTTCTTAAAAATTTAGGGTTTTCTCCTGGTTACCGTGATATGGTAACATCTGGTGATCAAGAACCATGGACATTTCGTGGCGGATTGATAACAGAACTTCAGGTAAATTAAATGATACTTTTCAGCTAGCTTTCATTCAGTTGAGTGGTTGGAGTTAGTTGACAAGAAACTCTGGATTTAGGCTTTATAGTAGTTAGCACCCGTTACCAAGGTGTACCTGCAATCGCGAGGGTACTGGTGCCCCTAGTGGTTTCGAACCCACGTCACCCAAATTCATAGTCTAAGACATTAACATTGAGCTATTTTAAGATCGATTGGCCTCATGTAGGACTGAAATATCTATGATTCGTTAATCACTATGTAGCGACCGCCGTTATATTTGTTGGGCTCTTGAATGCTAACGAAATTCTATCGATCAAGATTAAATGTGACCACTAGTACATCGGGTGCATTATTTTGATATGTAGGTCACATTGCAATTTCATCTATAAAATTCGGTCAGAACTAAATTACAGAGGTCAGTACTTATTGATCAATCAAGTGGAACTTTTTATCTAATATTCATACAAATTTTCTGTTTTCAACAGTATGCTAATTTATATACTTAGATGACCATTAAACTCATAGAACTATCTATACTTACATAGTTCCAAAAATTATTTACTCAGTTATGAATCGATTTGATTCATTGTTTTCAGATTTATCAACCATTAGCTTTATAGTCATATAAATCATACTTTAAAAATAAACGGATCATTAAAGGTAACAAATTATTCCTTGTAAGGTTTTACACCATATATGTTTTTAAGATAAAATCAGTATGAACAATTTTCTTAAATGATAAGCATGCTATTTTGTTTGTTGCGATCCTTACAAGTTAGATTTCTTTCAGTCTAAATTTTCAATAGTTGGTTATGTTGTAGTCTGTATGACATCATACATTTAAAGGTCTTTTGAATATGATAACTAGAGATTTTCTTTTCCTTGTTCAGAGAATTTTACCTCTCGAATCTGCTCAAGATCTTTTCCCTGCACCAAGTCGTGCTGTCCCAGGCATGACTACCATTCCTTGTTTGAATTGGCCTGATAATTCATCAAGTGTATACACACCACTTGCGCCTTCTGTTCCCCCAATGATTCCAATTCAACCTTCAATTTTCCAAAATTTTTCAAGGTTTCCATCATATATAGTTCGACCATATAGACCTGAAGATAAATCATGCATGTATGGCTTATTCAGAAAACTACTTTTGACTCGTGTTGGTTTACCTGAAAACGCTCTTCCATTAGAATTCCAGGATTTACCAGGTGACAAGTGAGTAAATTCATATATGAAGTATCTATTTTCGAAGATAGTTTTAAGAAGATTATGTGTAATTTGAATAAAAACTTTCATCATTAACTAAGTAAAACTACTAAATAATTCAGTTTTCCAGGTTCGACCTTGTTTGGAGTCGTATGTGTACACTATTTAAAAACCCATCCAAAGTAGAACGTATCAACTATTGAATTCTCCCTGGTTTCCATTGATTCTCCAATTTACATTAGGATACTTATATATGTACTGAGATCACTATAATGAAATCATCATTGTGTAGTTTTTAATATTTTCAATAGATTTGGTAATGAATATTATTAAATACAATAAAACTATAGATTTATTGTTATGGTTATTTTTATAATAAAAAAAGTCAAATAAACATCATTAATTTATTTCAAGGTTAATTTATAATATATAATGTAAGTGCATAGCCCACACTTATTGTTTATTAGTTTGTTAGATATTATTATTTTGTGATTTAAATGGGCTTTAGATTGTTAACATGAAGTATCCAGTGCTGATCTATAGGTTGAATTACAGTGATACGATGTGACCGGGCAAGTAATAGTCATAATCAGTATAGAACCTGACCAAGTGGTAACTCTTCAAGTGATCGAATTATTGACATCAACTTGCAATGAACCTAGATCAGAAGACAAGACAGTTGACCAGCTGAATAGCTTATTTATTCATTTAATAAAATAATGCACTTATGTACAACATATCAAGCAAAAATAAACATACTTAAAAGTCAGTCGAAACATTAGAAATCGGGAGATACGTATTTCTTAGGTCACTTAAGTACCATTAAAATTAAGTTTCAATTGTTGGGTTAATTTTTTCTTCATCATACTACAATTTAGTTATTTTTATGAGTAAACTAAGATTAAAATCAATTTCTTGATAAATTATCGTTGATTGTAATCAGTTTGTAAATAATTGTCAGAGGTTAGTTGTACTACCAAATAAGGTCATTTGAATCACACAAGAATGGAAACATATTGTGTCATTTAAATCTGTCAAATATTTTAGTGTGATTTTCATCATTATATCTTGGTTAGTTCAAAGCATGAGCTAAATGGTTATCTAGTATTTTAATCTAACCATTTACTAGTTACTTGATAAAACGCTTTAAAACTACAGTTTGTGAGCATTTAAAAAAAAACTATAGGATTACTATCCTGGTTAGCATTTCCAGATCTTGTTCATGTAACATTTTAAAAAGATTGCAATCTACTAAGTATGTTTATTGTTCACTGCCTCTAAATGATCAACAGAAGTTTCTAAAAGTATTTATTTATGTAAACATAAACGTACTGCCTATATTTAACTTGTATATGTTCCTCTTACTTCATTCGTGTTTGGTATCAACTTGTAGGTATTTACTTCCATTTCTACAACATTCACCTGAAAATTGTTTTATGGTTATGGGTCCACCCTTCCTGCAGACCTCAGTTGATTGTTCTAGCTCAGTCACTGATCATTCTACCACAGGTAATTGTGTTGGCTTTGGTGTTTCAGCACCAGATGCTGTATGTTGGGCTCGTGAACGTACTACTCACTATCGAGAGTCAATGAAATTAAAATATCCACGTGATTTCCAAATTGGAGTACACAATTTATCGCATTGTAACAAATTAGTTGTTGGAAATTGTGAGACCAACAACTCTAACCTGAATGTTGTTACTGCGACTGATACTGCTCGATTGGAACCTCCTGTAATTTCATCTGCCCCACTTTCCCCTTTAACAGATGATCGTTCTTCAAGCATTACTCCAAATCAAAATTCTGTGGCTGTCGAAGAATTCATCAAGGTGAATAATAATAGTGATATTTTTTGCTCATTTACTATCATCTTTGTTTTTTTGTTATGATTGATGTATTCAATTCCACATGTTTAGTGTATAACAACTGTTTAGACCTAAAGATCTTGTTGGAGTTAGTAATCATTGTACTAGTTCCATACACACAATTTACGAACTTAAAAAAATTTCGACGGATCGAATGCACGCAGTAATAATGTTTGAAACATAGTCAATTTGTTTCAACTAAGGATTATAATTTATTTACTTAAGCTGAGTTTTCTGACATTGTAGTGCTGAGTTCCTGTATCATTATCAAATAAGTTTACTGAGTTGTATGAAGTAGCCTTTTGATTCAAATTCTCATACTACTCCAACTAAAGATTTTATATAAGTGAACTAAAAAATATCCAGTGAATATTTAACTAAGTTGATAATGAGTTCAAATGTATACACAAATAAAATATATGTTTCGTCATAATGGATATCTAAATATGTTCAGTTATGATACCCAACCACTGATGACCATGGCTATACTAATTAAGATTGATAGATAGCTACAACTTGTCACAGTCAACTATACAAAATGTAAATTATTAACTACTTAAAGTAATAGTAACGTCTTAGTAATTTTTTTTAATTTTCAGTCTATGATTTCTTCTTTCCACAATGATACATCTGAAGTTGTTGATATTGCTGCAGCTGTGAATTTACTCCCTCCTCCTGAACCACTTGGTGGATGCCTTCCCATGGAGCCACCACTATCTGGTTGTTTGGAACAGTGTGAACCTAATTGTACGACTGCTCCAATTACTTCTAATATTCCTACTAATTTGTCATCTCAATTAGAATTAAAATCTTCTTTTCCTATTGATGAATGTGGTACAACTATCCCAGCTTTACCTTTGCCTACACCTATTTTACCAGATACCGCTCCTCCATCTCCACCATCTGGAACTACTTGTGCACCATCATTAGTGCCTGAGACATGTTCAAGTAGTCCTGCAACAACAAATTCAGTGATAGCTCGGAATCTTATTGTTGCTGGTGGACCAGAAGCACTTCATAGTGCTTTGACAGCTCATCCCGCTATTATATGGATTGAATTTGATGATATAGGATTAAATAATTGTGTTAATGGTCCTACACCTGCTATGCTTATTAATCATAATCTTGGATTATGTGCAGATTCACCTGAAGTGTTGTTGGATTCTGTAGCACGTCGATTATTTATTTGTTTGTTAGCGGCATTGAAGACAGTCGGCGCTCATGCAAGTTCTTAAATGATAATTTGTTATTATAAAATATGATTGATAAATTTCCTTATTTTAAACAACTACTTCTATTTCTTGTTTCTTTTGATAATTGTTTTCTTAAATAAGTATAAATTTCGGAGATATATAAACAGTATAATTTTGTAAGATATTATCACTATTCTATTTCAACTTAATCGATAAAATTCGTCTAGTTACTAAAAGATTCCCAACAAGCATGACAGTGGTCTCAACTCAGTGATTAATCACCTGTAAATAATTTTTAACTTAAGTATTTATGTAAGAAATAAACTAGATGAAATTGAATTTATTATGAAATATTCAAATCTACATTTAACAAATACTTAGAAATAAATGTTACGTATTCCTGAACACCGATTACCACGACGTGCAATGCTAACCGGTGTTGGGGATGGTTGGAAGAAATTAAGGGGCGGCCAAGCCAAAACGTGGCATCAATGCTAGGAGTCACTAACTTCTAGTCTGAGCCATGTTGTTAAATACAAACTACTTGGTTGGGGTCCGCGTGACTGTCGTAACCAATGGTTGGAGACTCTTGGTGACATGGCTCAGAATCGATCACAATGGCGTCGGTGTATACAGTCTCTGTCTTCCCTTAAACTATGAGATTAAAATCGCTTCATATCTTTCTACTAACTAATTCTTTCGTCCTGTACTATATCCTTATTGCAATCTTTCTTTTATATATTACCACCTCTGAATTGACTACTTTTATGAATCCGGTGTCCATCTTGTTGTGTTAATGAGGTATGGCAACTTGGACCGATGCATATATGTGCCTGATCCTACGTTGTAGCTGACTGACTGACTGACTAGATGTAAATTAGCAAGGATTGTTTAAAACTTGAATATAATGCTTTTTGTACATTTTGATTATTGTATTATTTAGCTGAGAATTCTATAACAGAGAATTACTATTAAAATTTTCAACTGAACCAATCAATCAGAATTGTGACTAAAGTTTTACGAGTAGATCATGTGAATGGGATTGACAATCTTTTAAATAAATTGTCAATGTTTATGCTTAGATCATCACATTGGTTACTTTCAAAAAACCAATTCATGTAAACTGCAAATATTTATATTTCTTAAATTGGAATAGAAAAGTTATGTTTATTTTGTAGATTCATCATTCATGTCATGTTTTCCGTTAGTTTACGAAGCTCGATTTTTTTTATTCTACATTATATTGGTTGATAATAATGAATTAATGTACTTAATTTTAACCCGACAACAATATTATCGATATATATATAATGGAGCCTATATTATTGAGAAAAATTAGTTGAACCAATCTAATGTACAAACAAAGACCATTAAATAACAAGAAAATGTATTTTTTTTTTAATGATTCAATAACAATGAATAATACACTTGATACGAAAGATATAAGATTGTGCTTTGTATTGGCCACTGGTAATTACTAGAATGTAACTATGTCTAGTTGCTGAGTCTTTATATGAGACAAAATCTGCATTCTGAATTTCATCGATAATCAGTATGTAATAAACAACTTTTTTATTTCGTTATTTTATTTAAGTTCTGTTAGTGGTATTATAATATGGTTTGTTTTTTATCGTCTTTCTATTTTACTTCAGGGAGCACATGTACAGTTGGATACTATCAATGAACATCGGGCAGAACTTTATCGACGTTTTGGTTTCTATCCTATTCCAGCAGCTTCAAATGAACAAACAACTGTTTTAGCTCGTTTAATTTGATGAAAATCCTATTCCTCTTCCCGTCATATAATCTATGACATAGTTTTCTTGTGTGAAGTGTTCAATTATCAATGTTGATCATGATGATATTGCTTAAATTACGTTCCTGTTCTAAATCCATATTATTAAATGTTATCACTGTAGATTATCAATTCACACACATACATATAGTTGTTTGTTTGTATGAATAATCCAAAGACTATTCTGCACGTTAATGAATCTTGTTTTGACTCGTACGTGCATTTCTGTTTGTATGTATGTTTGACATAGAAATATAAGTTTATTATGTTTACTTAGACAAGTGAATCTAATTTGTCCTCTTTCTCTAATCCATAATCTAATTTGTTTTTAATATCCTTTGGTTAAACATTGAAAGCACAAAAGTTAAAAAAGCGCGTATAGTTGGGTTCTTTTTCAATGAACGTGCTTATATACATACAGATAGCTCAGTTAATTGATAAAATAACTTTTCTATCATTTCTTTTATTGTCCTGTAATGTTGTTACATCATAACGTTTATAAGTATATTTATGCAAATAGTAAAATTGAAAGTGATCTCTTATAAATTGAAATTACAAATTTCTTTTGATCTCTTTCAGCGTATATATACATACATAAATACATGTAGTCTTTTATTTTTAATTGTTATTTGTGCCGATATTAATGTTACTTCCTTTGCAGGAGGCTCATTTTAATATAAATTGGATGAAAATATAATTTGTTAACCTTTTTCTTTTGCAACCTGTATAGTTTATACATAAACTCTTGAGATTACATATGTATCAGAACTGATTGTTCAAAAACTAGGAATAATACTTTTGTCGTATACGCCACTGTATTAATGATCAATGAAATGACTAATGAAATTATTGAAATCACCAGGATCCTGTCAAATTAAGTCGAAGGATGTATTTCATAGCTTGATGTTTATCAAAAGTATGGTTTTAACACAAAACCATTGTCTCTGGATGCGTAACATCAATGTTTACATAGATTCCTGCTGGTGGAAAAGATGAATTATATATATCGAAGCGAAAAATACATATACTAATCTCACATAAATTTAATCAGTTGTATGTTAATTACGTTAAATGTCCATTTTATGTTGCACAACGAATTTTATGGATAGCTTGATCAAGTAGCGCAAAGTTCTTGTCTTTCAAAAATAACCTATTTTATCTGAATAAGCACTGGGAAATAGGACGCTACGTGACACACTGAATACTACTAATATCCTGGAGATGGCAGGTTTATTATCGGTGGTAAATAAACATTAACTTTTAAGTATATTATACAATTTCCAAACAATTAAATTTATTTACGAGAAAATATATTGTCTACCCTTACCAAATTTTGAAATATGCTCGTAGGTAACTCGTTAGCCGGACAGGATATTAACTCACACATTTCTAGATATAAAACAAACCTTGGTAAATTTCGCAACCACAGAATACGTTGTATAGTTGGGTAATAGAATGATTCTTAATTGAAGTAGGCTACCTTACAAACTAATCATAATTACAGAACAATGGAAAATAAGTATATTCATTTAGTGTATATGAAATATTTTTAAGCCTATTAAATCTACAATAATTGATAACTGTATATACATCTATTTTATTTTTAGTTTCTAATGTCATTGGTTAGTAATAATAGTACTAATATAAATGAACGTCTATTTCAAGTTATGCAAGTAAATGAATGTAAAAAAAATAATAAATATTTGTAATATAACGTGAAGAAGGTCAAGCAATTAAAGAATGTAGTGAGAAATTAAAAGTTGAATGATAAAAGTAAAACAAACAGTTCAGTAAACTCATAGAATGGCATCAAAGAGGAAATGAAGTGTAAATTGAAACAAAAATCTACACGGAACGAAGTCATATATAGGAATGTACATATATGAAGAAGTCGGAGTATTTCGTTATTTTTGGTTATGTTAATTATAAATCAAAATTGAATTCTGTATTTCACATTGATGTCTCTAAAAATAATCATGCCCGTCACGAAATTCAAATTTTAAGAGGTAGTCATCATTGACCTGAAAATTTACTTGTAATACAGGTTAAACTTAACAAATGCATTAGTTGTCTTAAAGATGTAGAACAACAATCTAGTGTATAGTAAATGAGCATTAAAATTCTTGTAATTTATGACCCGGTTATCGAATTTAGTGTGAAGTCCATAATTTCCGTTTAAAAGCACGATGGTGTAATAAGAAGTACTATTATAAAGTCATGCATAAGTAGGTTTCACACAAACCATTTAATTTCAAAAATGTGCTATATTTAAAGAAATTAAGCCTTAATTGACTAAAGTGCTATATCTGTAGATTTCACACTGATAAATTTTGTCAGAAAATGTTATCGAATAATTTAGGCTACTTATGAGTAGGTGAAGTCAATTGTTATTTATTACTCCAATTAATTTCGTAATCAGCAAAAACTTTTCATCAAATGGTCGCAAATCGAATGAGAACATTTGAAAATTCCATCTGACGAAATCAAAGTTCCTTTTACTGAAGTTCATATTCTTATTATTCTATTTGAGTTTTGATATTTGAATGTGGAATCTAGTGCCTAAGATACCGGTTTGCTTGAAATCGCGAGTTTTAATACATTAAGTATGAAAATATTTTAAACTCAGCAATGATAAAGTAATTAGCATACTTGGATGAGATGAAATATATCTTTTGACAATAGAGTGATGATATAAATACTACATTTTTCAAGCAAATACTTAGTCAATAAGATCTATGGTATAGACAGTATGTTATGAATTACCTAGTGGCCAATTAATGTATTTTCAGTGTTATATAGAAAACAGTGGAATCGTAATTATATATTGGCAAAACAAGAAATATATATATATATATATATCTCCGTGTTGTATACGAGGAGTTTACTTTTTCCCTTAAGTATGTTGAGGTGTACTGATCCAGAGACTGCTGCTACACTGTTTGTCTTGATCTGCATTTGTTGATATGTATGGAATAGCTTGGTTACGTCATCTGGTGTTTAAATCGTCTAGTTGTATGCAAGCTGTCCATTGTATTCTGTGCGTCTTGTCGGATGTGAAGGTTTTCATAATCCCGTCAATTACCAGAAGAGAGGAAGAAAGCTATCAACCTTGTCCAAAACCAGCCCTCACTTTGAAATGCGTCTGTCAGCTGTCTGCTATGCATAAATTTGCACAGATTCAGTGTGGTGTTGATAATGCTCTCAGCTACTCACTTCATAGCTTTGAAGAAGGTTCCATAAGGTCCCACTATCCACATTGTCAAATGCTTTATCATAGTCAAGGAAGTTGATGTACAGTGACAAGTTCCATTCAATTGATTGTTAAGTGATGATCCGTAGTGTCGCGATTTGGTCTGTGCATGACCGATCCTTACGCGATCCAGTCTGTTAATCTGGATGTTGGGCGCCTACTGCGTCTTTTATCCGGTTCAGCAATATTCTTTTGCAAACCTTTGCTGGTACCGATAGTAGTGTGATGCCTCTGTAGTTCTCACATCTCAAATTTTATTTCTTTGGTATCTTGGTGAAGTGCTTATTTCCAGTCTGTCTGTAGCACTTATTCTTCCTCCCAGTTCTTTCTGGAGAGAATGTGGAGCATTTTTGCAAACAACATTGTGTTCAACTTCAGCACTTCATGTCGTGCTGCTTTCCCACTCTTGATTTTTCTAATGGCCATCCAGATTTCTTCGGTCGTTGGTAGAGTGACATCTATCGGAAGGTCTATGTGTGCCGCTTCGATATATGGTGGATTCAATGAAGCTGGCCTATTCAGGAGTTCCTCAAAGTGGCCTACTCACCTGTTCTACTGTTCTTGAGTCTCGGTTAATATCTTTCCTTCTTTGTCTTTGACTGGTTTCTCTGGTTTACTATATCTGCCTTCCGGTTTCTTCGTTGTGTCATGTAGTTGTTTCATATTTTCTTTCTCTTGAAGCTTTTTCCACTGTCATTGCTTGTCGGTTCTAATTCTTCTCTTCACTCGTTTGTTCGCTTCAGCGTATTCAGCTTGCGCCTTGACTTTCTCTGTTAATTGCTGTCTTTTTGTTCTTCCTTTCTTGAATCATGTACAGGGTTTATATAGTAAATTATTCCTAAGGATGTTTCTTGCTGTGGCCCAGCATTTCCTGACACGTCGAAGTTAGGGATTCTCTGACTCTTTTTCAGTTGTCTTCCATAGTAGTTTCCTCTCCTTTTAGTAGATCTTTTAAGGCTTGTAACCTGTTATTGAGAGTTATCTTGAATTCGTTGAGTTGGTCAGTATTTCGAAGGAAGGCTGTACTGAGCCTTTGTGATGCCTTTTCTCCAGTTGTCCATTGCTTCCTCAGTTTCATTTTCATATTGACAACCACCAGGTAGCGATCTGAAGCTATATCAGCTCCTCTCCCTCATAGTTCTCACGTCTTCCATTGACTTTCTGAATTATTTAGTGGTGTAAATATTATCCAATGCGACCCACATAGCTTTGTGTATAGGTCTGTGTGGGAATATTACGCCCTCTGTGACCATTTTGTTGAAAGCCCATAAATTTGCAAATCTGTCACCATTCTCGTTCTCTTCCCCCAGTCAGTCCATTTCGTCCCATGATATCTCTATTCATCATGTTGTCCATCTCGACCTTGGCAGTTAGGTCTTCCTTCAGGATGGTCAGGCCCCTTCCTGAACACTACTCTACGATTGACTGCAGCCCCTCATAAAACTGATCCTCATCATCGTCTTCGTCGCTATGATTGGTAGATACATAGCACTCGATTATCCTCGCTTTGATCCCTTGCTATTTTATTTTGAAGGATGCCTTGATGGTTCTGGATCCATGCAATTCCGATCCGATAAGCAAATTCCGTGCTTCTTTGGACATCATCGGAGCAAGTCCCGGAGCGTGTGGAGCATTTTATTCTTCGTGACCAGAGTACAACAACATCTCTTCCGAACCTAACCTTTTCTGTTCAGTTTAGGTCTGATGGGTTTCGTTGATTGCGAGCACTG